CGCGCTGCTCCTTGCCCACCCCCCTCCATAATAAAGCCAGCTCCTGCTGCCCTCTTTCCTCTTGTCCCTCTTCCCGTATTCCCTCTTCTCGCACAAATCTCCTCCTGCCTTCGCCTTCATACGTCTGGCTGCCTGCCTGCCGCCTTGCCTTGCCTTGCCCTGCATTTGACTTGGTTTTTGTTTGTTACGCAGCACGACTCTCGATATCCCCCTCAAGGCCCAGGCATCGTCATCACCATGTGGTAAGCTCGCCCGCGTCACCGCCTCGGCCTCGGGCGCCCCGCCTAAGCAGCGCCCTCCCCCTCGCACTCTGCGAGAGCTTGTCCGCGAGGGCAAACGCCTCGCTTGCGGCGCCCTCTGGGCACCTGGCAGAGGCCAATTGGCGAGAATGGCATAGCTGACGCTGCTTTCCCCCTCGCAGTGGCATCTTCGGTTACATCAACTATTTGGTGGAGAAGGACCGCAAGTTCATCCTCGACACTCTTATCAACGGTGAGCATCAGCCGCGCGCCACCCCCTCCTGAGCATCCCGCCCCGAGCGCACACACACGCCGCCCCCCCCTCTTTGAAACGCAGCCGTCTGACGTGAGAGCTCCTTGCTCCCCCCGCAAATAGGCCTGTCCCGTCTCGAGTACCGAGGATACGACTCTGCTGGTCTGGCCGTCGATGGCGACAAGAAGAATGAGGTCTTTGCCTTCAAGGAGGTTGGCAAGGTCGCCAAGCTGAAGAAGCTCATCGACGAGTCGGACGTCAAGCTCGACAAGGTCTTTGATTCACATGCCGGCATCGCCCACACGCGGTGGGCGACTCACGGCCCTCCCTCCACCACCAACTGCCACCCTCACCGGTAAATTTGGACCCTCCCGCCTCACTCCAAGGGCCACGCTTGGGGCCTTTTGGCTTGGAGGACCATTCTTTTGGTTGGACGCTTTGCTGATCGTGGGCTCGTAACGCTGCAGATCCGACCCCAACTGGGAGTTCACCGTTGTCCACAATGGCATCATCACCAACTACAAGGAGCTCAAGACGCTGCTCAGCAGCAAGGGCTTCAAGTTCGAGACGGAGACCGACACCGAGTGCATCGCCAAGTTGACCAAGTACATTCACGACCAGCACCCCCAGATCGGCTTCACGGACCTGGCCAAGGCCGTCATCCAGGAGCTCGAGGGTGCCTACGGCCTGCTCATCAAGTCCGTCCACTACCCCCACGAGGTCATTGCCGCCCGCAAGGGTTCGCCCCTCGTCATCGGCGTCAAGACGGAGCGCCGCATGAAGGTCGACTTTGTCGACGTCGAGTACGCCGATGACAACACCGCACTCCCCGCCGAGGCTGCGTCGCAGAACGTCGCTCTTAAGAAGAATGCCGGCGACTTCCTCGCCCCGAGCAACTCCAGCCTCCTCGGAGCCCCCGACAAGTCGCTCCTCCACCGCTCGCAGTCCCGCGCCTTTATGACCGACGACGGGATGCCGATGCCCACCGAGTTCTTCCTCTCCTCCGACCCGTCGGCCATTGTCGAGCATACCAAGAAGGTCATGTACCTCGAGGATGACGACATTGCCCACATTCACGAGGGCTCCCTCAACATCCACCGCCTGAAGAAGGCCGACGGCAGCTCCAACGTGCGAACCATTCAGACCCTGGAGCTTGAGCTCCAGGAGATCATGAAGGGCAAGTTCGACCACTTCATGCAAAAGGAGATTTTCGAGCAGCCCGAGTCGGTCGTCAACACCATGCGTGGCCGCCTGGACATTGCTAACGAAACCGTCACCCTCGGTGGCCTGCGATCGTACATCTCCACCATCCGCCGCTGCCGGCGCATCATCTTCATTGCTTGCGGCACGAGCTACCACTCCTGTATGGCGGTGCGTGGTATCTTCGAGGAGCTTGCTGAAATCCCCATCTCGGTCGAGCTCGCCTCGGACTTCCTCGACCGCGAGGCTCCCGTCTTCCGCGACGACACCTGCGTCTTCGTCTCCCAGTCGGGTGAGACGGCCGACTCTCTGATGGCGCTGAGATACTGCCTGGAGCGTGGCGCCCTCACCGTTGGCATCGTCAACGTGGTCGGCTCCTCCATCTCCCTGCTCACCCACTGTGGTGTGCACGTCAACGCCGGTCCCGAGATTGGCGTGGCCTCCACCAAAGCCTACACTTCGCAGTTCATCGCCATGGTCATGTTCGCTCTGTCCCTCAGTGAGGACCGCGCTTCCAAGAAGCAGCGTCGCGAAGAGATCATGGCTGGCCTGTCTAACATTTCTGGCCAGATCAAGGAGATTCTCGACCTGGACAAGCCCATCAAGGAGCTTTGCCAGAAGGTCTTCCAGAACCAAAAGTCGCTGCTCCTTCTCGGTCGTGGCAGCCAGTTCTCCACTGCCCTCGAGGGCGCCCTCAAGATCAAGGAGATTTCGTATCTCCACTGCGAGGCTGTCATGTCTGGTGAGCTGAAGCACGGTGTCTTGGCCCTCGTGGACGAGAACATGCCCATCATCATGATCCTCACGCGCGACGAGATCTTCAAGAAGTCCCTCAACGCCTACCAGCAAGGTATGTTGCGCTCATCATCATAACGCCTGTTGCGCGCATGGTTGCTAACACTGTCTTGTAGTTATTGCTCGTGGTGGCAAGCCCATTGTCATCTGCAACGCCGGCGACGAGGAGTTCAAGGCGTCTGACGCCACCAAGATCGAAGTGCCCAAGACGGTCGACTGCCTGCAGGGCCTTCTCAACGTCATTCCTCTTCAGCTCATTGCCTACTGGCTGGCCGTCCTCGAGGGTCTCAACGTGGACTTCCCTCGCAACCTGGCCAAGTCTGTGACCGTCGAGTAAAGGGGCTCCGCTGGGAGCGAAAAGCTCGTGTGTGCCTCGCTGGCGTGCCACCACGAGTATGGCGTGTTTGCTGGGCAGCTGGCGAAGCCTTGTGATTTGCGTTTGGGAGGCTGGCGCTTGCCCGCCGCGTTGAGGGGCGGGAGGAATAGGAGTTGGCTTCATCTTGAAAACGGGCGAACTCTTGGCAAGGAACACTGGGTACACAGCAATTTGGTAATATCAGGGCATGGAAAGTTTGGGATTCACTTTGCGTGGTCCTCGCCGCGGTAGATTGGGGGTTCGGAGGATTGTCATGTACAGCCCTGAGGGGCTTGAGTTGACTGGGAACAAGTAGTAATTGTGGTAGCGTTTATATCCGTGCAGAAGCATGGTATTTTAGCAACACACAACCGTCACGAATGCCCGTTGTTTGATGAAGAATTTGGTCATTGGATGTGTGTTTGTTGTTACTGTCCTTTCTTACTCTAGTGCAGCCGCGTCACCATCTGTGCGGACGCATGGTCGATCCTAAATACGCAAGTGCCACGAAAGTTCGTGGTCTAGCCATCTGGCGCGTGAAATCTGTGCTTTATTGTTACAGTCCTCTATGGGCTCTAGCGAAGCTGCATGTCCTCTGCCTGAGCTGACAAACATACACCCAGTCGGCGTCTGCACCAGCCCGACGCAGCGTCTCCTTATACCTCCATACCTCCGTCGCTGGGGGCTCTTAGACCGTCTGCGTACCGTAGCCCTTGATCCTCTCGGCAAAGGCCCAGCTCTGCTTCTCGAGCTGCTCGTCCGTCTTGAGCTCGACGCCGTCCTTTGTGACGACGGCGATGGAGTACTTGTCGAGACTCCTGGCGTCGCGGTAGAAGAGGACCTTCATGCACTCCTTGATGATGTCGACGGCCTGCTCGCGGGAGAGCTTCTTGGCCGACTCCTCGTCGGGGACGTAGCGGCGCATGATGGGCTGGGCGAGCATGGAGCCGAAGCCGGTGGCGAGGCTGGGGGAGGAGTAGGTGGAGCCGAGGAGGTCGGCGGCGGCGAGGAAGGGGGCGCCGGCGTCGTCGAGGCCCGCGACGAGGACGTGGTTCCAGAGGGGGTCGAACTTGGAGCGGCGGCGGTAGAGGAGCTTGGCGAGGTAGCGGTGGAGGTTGGCGGCGTTGAGGCGCGGGTGGGAGGCGGCGTCGGGGGAGGTGTCGGCGTAGGCCTCGTTGAGGGCGAGGTCGGTGAGGTGGCGGTCGAGGTACTGCATGTCGGAGACGTCGCCCGAGAAGCCGACGACGGAGGAGTTGGCGAAGGGGCGGAGGCGCTTGACGTCGGTGAAGCGCGCGAGGGAGCCGTACGAGGCTGTTTGGGGGAGGCGTCGTTGTCAGCGCCTTTTCTCTCTTCTCTCTGTCTCTCTCGATGTGGACGCTGGGTGCACATGTGGCTGCTGTATGAGAGCGCAAAGAGGGGCAGACAGGAGCGTAACTCACCCAGGTTATCGGCGGCGATGACGACGCCGTCGCTGAACTTGATGGCTATTACCGACGTGCCGGTGACGATGGGCTGCTGGGTGGCCTGCTTGGGGCCGTTGTTGGACTGCATGAAGGAGGCCTCGTAGGAGCCGTAGACGTCATCTCTGGGCTATCAGGTGCGCAGAAGACGGACAGGTTAGCTGCGGAACTGGGGGGCATTGGGATGCTTTTCATTCTTCGGAGGGGGAGTTGACGTACTCGGCCCCATGCCTGCGGTCGGTGATCCATGGCTGCGGCGGCGGAGGGGTCCGGTGAATGGGAGAGGGTCAATCGGTATCGTAATTGCGGATGCGAAGACGGAAGGGAGCGGTGGTCGAACGTGGGTTTGGTTCGATGCGGCGTCGATGGTGGTGGTGATGGGTCGTGATGCTGCTGAGAGTGACGGTGCGAGCTGGCGTTGGAGCTGTTCTGCCTGGCTTGCTTGCTGGCTGGCTGGCTCTCGTCAGTGTCGCGCGTCCTCCGGCAGCCTGAACCAGGCCATGCCTGGCGCTGAGCACGGAGCGGAGGGCAACAAAATGTTACATAAGCTGACATCACAGCTGGTGATTGGCCAGATGGGTCGTCGAAGCTCTACATGTACCGAGTACTTGTCCTTCAACGGGGCTGCAGCCGGCAGCGCCTGTATAGAGAACACGATTGCTCCCTGCAGCTCCTCCTGGAGCTAGCTGTGCAACTGTGGCAGGCGCATTGGCTGGAGCTCGCAAGGTTCCTGGCACAAGGGAGGAGGAGGAGGGGGAACATGCGACCGACCGCATGCGACGCACGCCGCCAACCAGCAGCTGAGAGGCCCAGCCCAGCCCAGCCCTCGCTGTTTCGTCAACCACCACCCTCCCATCCATCCTCTTGTCGTGCGACCCGGGCCATTCATGCGCACGCACCCGCCCCCGTCTCTACTGCAATCGATTTTTGTCTCTGGCCTGCGCGCTGCTGGGAGACTATAGAGAGCTCAATTAGACGCCGCGCATCTGTTTCGCGATAAGACGAGCAAGCCGAAAGTAAACAAACCGCCCGCCGCACCCGAGCTCACCACCACACCCACCACCACCTCCGTCGCCATGTTGACGTCCATCGGCCGGGCCGCCGCCCGCCGCGCGATGGCCTCAGCGCCGTCCACGCTCGCCGCCGCCGCCAAGCTCACCCCCCAGGCCGCCGCCGCCCGGCCCTCGTTCCACGGCGCCGCCCTGCCCGTGCGCTGCCTGTCCGCCACGGCGTGGGCACGCTCCCCGGCCGCATCGTCCAACAGCAGCTCCGGCGCGAAGAAGGCCGCCGGGACCAAGACGACGAAGAAGAAGAAGACGGCCACCAAGACGGCCAAGAAGGCGGCGCCCAAGAAGCCCAAGAAGAAGGCCAAGAAGGTCCTGACGCCCGAGGAGAAGGAAAAGGCCGAGATCAAGGAGCTCAAGAACATGGCCCTGCTCAAGGGCCCCAGCCTGCTGCCCGAGACGCTCTGGTCTGTGTACGTCGCCGACAACTTGCCCTCTGGGCAGGGCAAGTTGACGGACAAGATCAAGGAGGTGGCTTCGCGGTTCAGCGGCCTGTCCGAGTACGAGAAGGATGTACGTTTTGCGTTCTACGCCATGCCCTTCGGTGCTGCGGCATAGATCTCTTACTAACGGCTTTGACACAGCGCCTGCGGGCCACCGCGCAGTCTAATCAGACGGCCAACAAGCAAACGCGCCAGCAGTGGATAGAGTCATACCCGCCCGAGGCCGTCTACATGGCCAACGTGGCTCGCCGCCGCCTGGCTCGCCGCCTGGACAAGAGCCGCGTCTACCTCATCCACGACGAGCGCCTGCCCAAGCGCGCCGGCACGCCCTACACGCTCTTCGTCAAGTCGCGCTTCCGGGGCGCCAGCGCCTCCGGCGGCTCCGGCGCCTCGGCCCAGGACACGTTCCGGGCCATGAGCGCCGAGTGGAAGTCCATGAGCGAGGCCGACAAGAAGCCCTTCCAGGACATGGCCCGGGACGAGGCCGAGACGTCGAGGGCGCAGCTCAAGGAGCTCAAGGACAAGGCGAGGGCCTACTGGAAGGAGCACAAGGGCGGGTCGTCGGGCCAGGTGCCCTCGTAGACGAGAAGCGCGGCAACCGAAACACCAACTTGGATGACGACTTGTACTAGATGTGTTTGGAGTGGCTTGAACTTGGAGTGGCTTCTTTGGGAGTGATGCTATCGAAAAGCACCGGGGTACTGGGTCGCAGGCTGGACAGTGCCTGAGGGGGGGTGCTCGTCTTTTTTCTTTTGTGCCCGGCTTTATCTGCTTGTCATACCACCATGTATACCAGCTGCTTTATGTTTATGAATCTCGCAATTCGGAATGAGTCCCGTGAAGCATATCGTGTGTATTCTGACGGCGAGAGCCCATCCGAATCCGCAAAACACCTGTTTCCACAACCTTCTGGCCGGGCTGATTCTGTTACCTTGGCGTTACATATAACGACCGTAGTTGACATACGGGGACGGTGAACTCGCTGCCCGTGTCGGACGGGAATTACTGCGGGATGCTAGCATTGCTTCTTGTTCTCCATGTTCTTCTTGTCGTGGAGGAGCTGAGATGGTGCCAGGGGTGTTAGCATGGCCATTCGGAATAGGCCTTTCCGTCGACTCGTCTCAGTCAGATGCTTGCATATTTTCCTTTACTTACCCTCTCCAGTGTCTGTTCACAGTCAAAAGAAAGAAAAGGGGTTAGCACGACTTTGCTCTGCATCAACCCCCCGCCTCCTGGAACCACCCTCCGTGATCCCCGAAGCGACACTCACAAACTCGAGCCCTGCGCCGGTCCGGCTCCGGAGGACGCACACCTTCCGCGGCCAGCGCGGCCTGCGCCCGTGAACCGCCTCGCAGGTGGCGCAGCTCATCCACCCGGAGAAGCCGTCCGCCCTGGCCGTGCGGAGGCGGGCCTCGAAGTCGGTGTCGCCGGCGCAGCCGCCGCAGTCCATGTCGGAGCGGCAGCCCGGCCAGGTGAAGCCGATGGGGAGGAGCCACGCGGGGCGGTGCCAGGCGCTGCTGGCTGGGCTGGCGGCGGAGAGGACGGCGAGGAGGAGGGCGGTGGTGGAGAGCTTCATCGTGGGTGTACTGGGTGGAGTGAGGGTGCAGTTGTCAGTTGTCTGTTGAGCCTTTCGAATGAGGACGGAGATGCTTTTGTGAATTAGTCTGGCAGGAGAGGCAGGTGGAAGAGAATATGTATGTGCGGCCTGTTGCTTGCTCCTCTCGACAGAAGATGCATGTGCCCTCGGCTCCGTGTCCTATACTACGTCCGACTAAAACAAGTCTACATATATTGCAATAGCCCATTGGACAGCACATACATTGTGCTCATAGTGTGTTTACAAGGTATATAAGAATGAATGAATATGTAGTGAGTTAAAAGTGATAATAGAGTCTGCTAAGGGACCGGCGAAGAGCCATCCCCCATCGCAGACAGAACCGAAAGCAAACATCGACGCCAGCAGCCGTGAACACACACAAACAAGGACGGGGTGGTGTCACCGTACCCCTATCGCGCATACTCGGCATTGTGGTATTCGGCAACACGTGAAGGTAGGTTAGGTGTATACCTGCTCTTCCTGTTCCTGCCGAGGTCGCTTGGCGGAGAAGGGATTTCGTCCTCGTTCGCGTATCCCACACTGCTGGCCGCCCCCCTCCCCTGAAAATGCTACGTAGTAAAGTTGCCGTACTGCGTAGGAGCGACCGCCCATGTTGTATGCTGCAGCGTGCCCATGCTTTATGCTGTAGCTTGCCCATACATTAAACTTTTCGACTTGCTGGGCTTGGACGGGAGGCGGAACGGGAAGCCGAGTTAGTACTCGGCGCGGGGCGCGTCGTCGCGATCAGCAATGAGCTGGAACGACGAAGCAAGCACCGGTCACATCAGCATACATGCGCTTCGCTGGGGCGTACGCGGTTACTGCGTAGGGAGGGGCTCCTCTCGGTTAAATGCTTACCTGCTTCAGGATCTGTTGATGGAACAAGATAGATTAGCACTCGCCTCAACACTTCAGTCGCTCCGGTCACCTCTCTGCGCGCCTCAACTCTCTCGCTCCGCTCCTCTCACTCCCTCTCGCCCCGGACTCAACGTCGGCGCCAGGCCGTCGTCTCGCCGAGTGGGAGAGAGAAAAGGGAGAAAGGGCACGAAGCACAAAGAGCAGAACATAAAGGGAACCTAGTGGAGGGAGAGAATGGAGAAACCTACCCATTCGAGTTCCCAATCGGAGTACTGCTGGGCGAGACACTTCTTGGACGGCCCATCATAGTTTCCCTCAGTGTGCCAAACCTTCTTGCAGGTGTAGCAGGTCTTGGTGCCGAAGCCGTTGGCGGCGCCGTCCTGGAACATGGCGTCGAGGTCGGCGTTGCCATCGCAGCCGCCGCAGTCGGCGTGGGTCTCGCAGCCCTTCTCGCCCTGGTTCGGGAGGGGGCGCGTGCGCCAGGCGCTGGCCAAGCCTGCGGAGAACACGGCGACGATGACGGTGGCAGCGGCTGTCTTCATTGTGATGGGATGGGGCGTCTTTGGGCGGGGTGAAGGATGAGTTGAGTTTTGGGTCTCGAAGGTAGATAGATGGATGGATGCGATGGTGAATGCTGTTTCTTTCACTTTCTTGGCCTCTTTCGGTGGGCTATCAGGTTAATATATCCATCGGCGGCTGCTTCGTGCCTCTTGCAGACCGCTTCTGGCCATGACTGCGATACGAAGCCATCGTCGTGTTCTCAACGTAGTGTCTGATGAGTACAGCGGAGCTCATGAGTCGAGAGGATGGTACGCTTCAGTGAACTGACTCATGCCTCCTTTCACGATACCAGCTTTGCGTGTAAGGGGTTCCGAGACGAACGTTGCTGCATCCCATCGCGCGTGCTCGTATCGGTAGTTTCTCGACGCAATGCGCGAATCAGCTGTTTGTGCGGTATCCTGGCGATGTCGGTCGGCCGCCCACAAATCCTTTACGTGCGCACAATCTCATTCACCGCTTCCCCCCATGGAGATGCCACATACATAATAGGAAGTACACGTTGCGACCCATGAAGTGCTTTTGAACTCTCAACTCGCTGAGTCGTACGTACTAGCGGGTTGCAGTTGTCCCGTCAATGCAGCCCCTTGGCGACAGGACCTTGAGCGAGAAGTGGGCAAGGAGACTATTATATGAATACACTCGCCCGTTGTCACCTTGAATCCTGACATTGATAATCGATAGACTTTTGGTAGTTAAGAACCGTACATGCTCACATTAAGCAAAGTCATATAAACTACCTGGGTCCATCGCATTTTATGCATGAACCAGACCCCGGCGCACCGCTGCGACCGCATAAGCGAAATGGAGATACCGAGCACTTGATGATGCATTTTTATGCCATTTCGTAAAGGTGACCACGTGGGCTAGGTACTCATCCGGTGACTTGATGGAACAACGAGATGCGTGTGTTCCCATTGAACAAACCGTCTACCCGTTTAAATCGCGACCTTGCCCGTCTTGTTCCTGCGCCTCACTGCATAAGTCGTCATTTCCCAACGACATCATCACCGCGCTCCTCTCCATCCCTCCCAACGTCGAGGCAAAAGCTCACCGCCATGAAAGCCATTGCCATCATCTCCGCCCTTTGCATCGGGCTCGCTTCGGCCACCCCAGCGCGCCTCCTGGACCAGCAATGCGACAATCACCTCGACTGCGGAGGCTGCCTTGGCCAGGGCGACAAGTCGTTTACCGTCGTGTACAGCGAGGCCAAGGCACGTGGGTTTTCCGAGCCGCTGTCCTGTTCCCTTTGCTACGAACTAGGATCGCAGAAACCTGGCGATCCGAACAAGACGTGGTGTTCCTGGCGTCGGGCCGTCAAGGGGGAGGCGCTGGAGAAGGTAAGTAGCGTTGATCCCCTCCAAGCCTCTTTCATTTCTTCACGCTCAAAAACTCCCACGCCACGAGCGGAGCGCTGATGCGTCACAACTCGTCGACAGGCCCTGGAAATGGTAAGAATGCCCTTTCTATCATCTACGTCGAACGGGGAAGAGATCCTGGCTAATCACTGCGTGCGGCAACGTAGATCAAGAACGGAGGTGTAAGTCGAGTCCTAGCCTCGAGGGAGCCGGCCCGCCCTCATTGTCCTCCAGTGGACACCACATTAACATTTCCATCTGCAGAAGGCGCATTGATGACAGGCTCGTTGCACCGCTCTCGGTATTTGCGTGGCTTGCATTGGTCGGATGGCTACGCGGACGGCTGGGGAAGCCGAGTTCATGTTGTTTTCGGCCACCGATTCCGCACTTGAGGTCTGCACAAGGCCGTAGCCAAGACTTGTTGCTGGACGAAAGTTTGTGTAAAGCTCGCAAGTCTACAGACTCAATAGCGTAACTTGTCACTGGACCTGCCCAAGACATCTCCTGGGAAGGATGCGGTTGAGACACTTGGTACTGGCAAGTCTCACAACTTGCGTGTTCGGTGACCCAGAACAAGCCACAGGCAATCCCGTCTTTTGGCTTACGCTTGCCGTTTCCATGTCATAGTAGACTCTAAGCAACTGCACCCGAAAGGCAGCCAAGGAAACAAATGTGTCAACCCTGCTCAGGGGAAAGATTCGGAGGTCCGAGTGAGGGCTCTTCGTTTGTATTGATCACATTGCTACTTCGCGAGCTTGTTCTCTCCCCTCAGCCACGTATCAGGACCCTTCTCAAGAGAATATTGCCGACCTGCATGAAATCAGGCATTGGTAGCTTTCTCTGCTCCTTGTTCTTCGGGTTCCTTGCCTTTAGGCCGTCTTAATTCTGGGCGTCCTTCTTCTTCTTGGCCTCTTGATCAATCATCTATAAGAAATTGAAACGATTCATGTCAGCGACGGCCACCATGAACGGAAGGTCGATTTCCCAAAACGAACAAAGCACTTACCATTTTCAGATGCTACACAGGTACCACGGTTCTGGTTAGCATGTTTTCCCACGAAAAAAAAACGAAAAAAAAAGAAAAAAAAATCCCCCGCTGTTGACGCTCGCCACGGAGGAAAGGCAGACAGATCTTACTTTTTCAAGACGACGTCCCGTCACTGGTTTTTCCCAGGACAGACACCCCCCTGAGATCGAATTGCAATACTGACAAATCATGCCGTCATTGAAGCTGCTCTCTTTGCCCTCCTCGTAGAGGGCTTGGTAGTCGTTTCTCCAAGAAGCGTGACGGCTGTACGTGCAGCCTGCGCAATCCACGGACTTTTCACATGCTGTGCCAGGAGCAGCAGCAAGGGACAGGCCCGCAAAAAGAGTGGCCACAGCAGCTGATGCCTTCATCGTAGAATCGATAAGTTGTGTAGAGAGGTCTTCTTTGGTTTGTCGGGGAGCGAGAAGTGAATGAATGAGAGATGCAAGTAGTTACACTGTATCTCACTGTCCGGGCAGTCACCACAGCTTTTATGTCAACTATTTTGCGAATCTGTGCGCACCGCAATGTAACCCCCAACCCTTTATTCTTTGCAAGATCTTCCGCTCGTAGTCTGAGGTAAGTCACGCATGTTGTTGATCATTTCATGCTCCTCCGGCATAATCTCTGCGGCTTGACATGGTTGATCTATCTGCGCCGACTAAAAGGTTGTCCCTACTCTAGGTGCATGAAGAGGACACTATATGCTTGAACCATGACTCGTGCTCTACTTGCACCCGCGGCATTGACGTGGCCAGAAAGGACAAATGCGTTCAACTGCTCTACTTCTTTGTGTTTGAAACTGAAACATTGGCACCGATCCCTAATCGAGACTGCCAATATTGTAGATATATAACTTTATCTTCGGCTCTCGACTAGCACCGCATAAACACAGAAAACGCCGACAATGCAATGTATGCAGATGCGCCAGATCCCAGCGGGAGCTGCTTGAACTAAAACGTCCACGTCATGACCGCCGGTCCCGCGCCGGCACTTCCAACGCCATCTCGCCGTCGCTGCCGATCCATTTCGCCCTCGTCGTCTTGATCTGCCGAGCGCTGGCGAGGTACAGCAGCAGATACGTGTGCTTGACGACGCAACCCCAGCAGTAGAGGCGGATCCAGCCGTGAGCGGCATCGCGTCGGCACCATACGCCCCAGCCCGCGAGGCCCTTGTGGAGGTAGTTGGTGAGGAAGACCCAAGCCTCGAGGCGCTTCTCTGAGCTCCAGCGCGAGCAGTCGATTAGCCAGTAGCCGCGCTCGAGCGGTTCCACGGGGCGCAACTCCACGGGGTGGTAGCGCGAGGACAGGTCCAGGGCCAGCTTGGCGAGCCTGTCGGTGACGAGGTCTTGGGGTTTGACATGATCAACTCCAATGGGCGGTGAGGGAGGCCTGATCTCCAGTCGGTTGGCAACCTCGTCCACGGCTGTGAGATTAGACGAGCGCAGGCGACCCGTATCGCTGGAGCTGCGCAAGAGAGAGAGAGCATCGATACCACCGAATGCTGTCTGTGCCTTCTTTGACGGCAGCGGCTCTGACCCGGCGCGGTGAGGTGAAGACGTTGGCGGGTTGCTCAACACACTGCTGGATATGTGGGTGACATCGATCACAGATTGCTCCTCTTCGCGAACATCGGTCTTTCGTTTCCGGCCCCCTGGCGGCAAATGAGGCACAAGGGGCGTCACCGGAATAACCTTGTGTTCTCCAAGAGACACGACGGACGTGTTAGAATCCACCTCGTCTTGGGTCGGAGCCGGAAAGGAGGACGGGACGTCGATGGTCTCGTCGTTGTCTGCGGTGCCATCCCTGCGCCATTGGCGCCTTTTAGTCGGTGAAGGCGACGTGGACGTATCCGTAGACGCCCGAGGCCGGTTCAGAAACCGCTGGAGGATCCTCGTCGGTGTGTCCTGGAGGATAGACGGATCGGGGAGCGGGTAAGAGTCACTGATCTGACTCGGCGGGACGCAAAAGGACGACAGCGCCGGTATCGCGTCGCGATTCATCTGTGACGTCGACAGTGACGAACGAGGTGAATCGTGGCTCGCAGGTGGGAGGCATGGCGACGAGCGATTGTCCCACGCGCTCTGGAAGCTCAGATCCTGCGAGTCTGGGCCGAAGGCGAGCTCGGGGGCTGCCGTGGCGTACCCTTGAGACGACGACGGCAGTCTTGGCGGTTGAAAGGAGGGCGGGGGTTCTTCTGCCGCTGCCGGACTGCTTCTCTCAGGCTCATCGGTCGCTGCTATGCTTGCCACTCTGGTCCGTCTGTCGGCTGTGAAGGAGAGATACGCCTGCGCGAGTCGGCGATACGTGACGTCGTCCGCGGTCCTACTCGGCGCCGCTACGTGAACGAGGATCTCAACATCCTTCGACTGTCGTGCCATCCTGAGAAGCTGGTACTCTGCCGTATACGGTAACGTCCCATGGCGAACGGCGACAATGTGATGGCGAAGGGGGGCGGTGAATGAGGCCTGCTTGCGAGCGGACCGTGACTTGTACTTAAGTATAAGCGTCCACGAGCAGAGGGTGGCACTCTTCGTCGATGCGCTGGCTAGGCAGCTGGTGCTGACTGCATGCGGCTGAGGGGTTCCTCGTGGAACGGCTCCGCGCTCTGGCTGTGTGCGGCGCGAAAACGTGACTCGAGTCTGATGCGGGCGCCGCCGCGAGGCACAGACAACGGCGTGAAAGTGAGTGAGGTTCCGAGGTTGAGTTGAGGATAAAGGCAGCAGTGGAGCCAATGGTCGATTGGTTGGGCGGGAGCCGGTGGTGGGGGGAGGGAGCTTCGGGGTCCCTGCAGAGACGCCACAGCAGGTGCCCGCTAGCTGCCCGCTGTCAGTAGAACACAGAGCTGCACAGGTGGCCTATTATGGGGAGCTCCAGCTGCACGGATGAGCCCACCCCCATTCAACCTCAATTGGCAGGGGGTGGGGGTCCTCGCTATCGATTGACGTTAGCATCAGGAGGTCGCCAACGAACGACGACTTCCACGATACCTCACCACCACCCACCGTCCATCGCCGCCTGAACCACCACCTCACCACCACCCACACCCGCAGCAAGCCCAAAGCCATGGCGCCCACGCAGCAGCCCCGCGGCGGCGACGACCTCGGCCACGTCCTCGTCATCGGCGGCAACGGCTTCCTCGGCCACCACATCGTGACGCAGGCCCTCACGAGCCCCAAGTGGTCCGCCCGCGCCGTCACCTCGGTCGACCTGCGCTGCGACAAGAACCGCGTCGCCGGCGCCGCCTACCGCGAGTGCGACATCACCGACGAGCCCCGCCTGCGCGCCCTCTTCGAGGAGCTGCGCCCGGACGTGGTCATCCACACGGCCAGCCCCGTCGCCAGCGGCGAGACCAAGGTCGCCCGCGACCTCTACAAGAAGGTCAACGTGGGCGGGACCGCCGCTGTCGTCGCCGCCTGCCAGGCCGCAAAGGTCAAGGCCCTCGTCTACACTAGCTCCGCCAGCGTCATCAGCGACAACGAGTCGGACCTGCGCAACGCCGACGAGCGCTGGCTCGTCATCCGCGGCGCGCTGCAGCGCGAGTACTACTCCGAGACCAAGGTGCGTGATGCCTACCTTCTCCCTACGTGCTCAATCTTATCTGCGGTTTTCCCTAAAACCCTTGCTTTCGCTCAATGGCTGACATGGACATGCGAACACTCTGCATAGGCCGCCGCCGAGGAGCTCGTCATCAAGGCCAACCGCCAGTCCCCCTCCAACCTCGTCACCACGGCCCTCCGCCCCGCCGGCATCTTCGGCGAAGGCGACGCCCAGACCCTCGCCGGCTTCCTGCGCGCCTACCGCACCGGCAAGACCAACATCCAGCTCGGCGACAACACCAACATCTTCGACTTCACCTACGTCGGCAACGTCGCCCACGCCCACCTCCTCGCCGCCCGCGCCCTGCTCCTCACCGCCCGCGCCGCCACCGCGCCCCTCGACCACGAGCGCGTCGACGGCGAGGTCTTCTTCATCACAAACGACGCCCCCTGCTACTTCTGGGACTTCGCCCGCGCCGTCTGGCGCGCCGCCGGCCACGACAAGGGCACCGAGGGCGTCTGGACCCTGTCCCGCGGCCTCGGCACCACCATGGGCTTCGCCAGCGAGGTCGTCTTCGGCATCCTCCAGAAGCCCCCCACCTTCACCCGCCAGCGCGCCGTCATGTCCACCATGACGCGCTACTACAACATCACAAAGGCCAAGACGGTCCTGCGCTACGACCCCCCCTGGACCCTGCAGGACGGCGTCGACAGGGGCGTCGCCTGGTTCCTCGAGCAGGACAAGAAGGCTGCTGCCGCCGTCAAGGCGCAATGAAGAAGGGATAAAAGGTGGCTGAGCGGCGCGACGAGTGGACGAGAATAAGAGTATAAACCTAATGCTGTCATGTACATATACAGGAACTGGAACTTTTACAGTGGTCGCAATGTCGTATCCTACGTTAAACAAGCGGCCTGTAAAATGCATTACACCACGCTTTGTCTGTTTCGTCGCATGTCTCACAAGCACGGCCTTGCATTCGCGTAGCTTCATGGTTGCATTGGGGAATCTGTTTGCTTTGTCTCTTCCTCAAACTCATCGACCAGGCCTCTCAACACCCGGACACCTTCTCTCTACCTACATACAGCCACGCACCCTCGCCAAGCCCCCATGCCGTGCCCTTGTTCAATCTACGTTACTCGCTCAGAGCGCCCCCATAACAAACACCCACACTGTTTTTCGTCCCGTGCCAAGGGACTCAGGAACTTGCTCCGCCTTCAGCATGCCTGCACCAGCCGCTGCCCGGGCCGGCAGGCATCCAACGATCCACCCGCCCACTCTGCAACAAGACAGAAACACAAAAAAAAGCCAAGTCCGGTCCCCGCCGCATAATCCTTCTCGTCAAAAGTGAAAGATAGAACAAAATGTAGAAACCGCAGCCGCTCCTGTGAAATATCTCCAGTGGGCCTGTCGAGCGGACAACAGAAGGGAACTTCTCAGAACGATAATACGTCTGCTCCTCATCATTCCAAGACGCTGTGGGCCGTCGAGGGACAGCAACCGTCGTTTCATGCCGCAGAAACCAAAAAGAGAAAATCAAACCACGTTGTGAAGAAGGGTAAGGGCCAACTCGATCGAGGGACCGGTGGTGAAGAGAACAGCAACAGCGCACAGAACCGTCGTGTCGAGCCTAAGTGATATTGGGGGCTGGCCCCTTTTGTTTTTGTCGCGCCTGGCATGAAAGAGAATCGATGAGGGGAAAGGGACAAAACGCCGTGGATGATGCATATGGCTACACCGAAATCATGCCTCTTGTAAGCAACCAGAAATGCCTGCATCGGACGAAGGCGCCGGCATCACTTCCAGTTTGCGTCGCTCGGCGGGTCATGAGTTTCCGCCCACGCCGAGGCCGCCGCCGCGGCGTCCCCACGCAGAATTTCGCCACTCGCCGCGCTGTGAGTGCTCCGAGTTGTCCAGGTGGCTATCGGAATGATTGAAGCGGGTGTTGTAAGGCGAAGGGTGATCTCCTTGGCCGGGCCATCGCTGGGGAGGCGTCCCTTGGCCGGCGTACGCGGCTGGGGGCATGGCCGGGTCTTGCACAGGCCGGACCGTCCTCTCGCCCTGCCAGACCGAGGGATCCGTCTCGACGCGCCGCGGGGGCGATCGCGTGGACGTGTCTTTTCGCTTAAAGACCTCGTTGACCTCGCCCACGGGAAGCTGCCCGCGTCGGTCCTGGAACCGCTTCAAGATTTCCTTGCTCGTGACCTCGCCATTGTTGCTAAACAGATACGGATCATTCAGCAACGTCAAGAGCTCGTCCGGCACCTGTTTCCCATATTAGCATCCATAATCTGTCTGTAACCCACGGTCGTGCGCTGGCCTACCTGACACATCTCCTCGATGTTGTTGATGACGATCTCCACCGCGTCAATGACATAAATGGCCTCGCTATCCAGGGCTGGCGCCTTATTAGGGTTCGTCAGAATGTTTGGGGCGATGACCGTTGCGAGATTCCGTATGTCCATCTTGGAGCCGACTTCATCATCCAGCTGGTGGAACGAACCGGCCCACTTCAGAAAGGTGAAGAGGATCTCGAGGCTGTCGCGGTGGCTCTTTGGCAGCAGGCAGCATGCCATGTGCAGGCATTGCTTCCTCACGGCCGGGTCCGCGATCTTGGCCGCGCTCACCCAGAGTTTGTATAGCTTGTGCGTCATCAGAGGATCCGGGAGGTCTCGCAGGTACCGCTTCAGCAGGGCCGCCAGCTGGACGACCGGCTGCTCCATGAAGTTAACGACATCGCAGCCCTCGGCGTTGATCTTGTCCACCATCTCCTGCTGCTTCTTGATGTTGCCGTTCTTGCGGAAGACGCCCTCGACTGACAGATCCATCTTGCGCATCGACGAAATTATGTCGTCAATGACGGCGGGAATGCGTAATGTGCCTGGGCCGACACCATCCGTCGAGTCTGCACCGTCGCGTTCGATGATGATATCTAGAGGCACGCCAAAGACGCCCTTCTTCTTGACATTCTTGCTCTTGTCGTTCTTGAACGCCTTGCCGAGGTTCTTCCAGAAAGTCGCTGGCTTCCTCGACTCGATGAAGCTGAGCAGCTCCTCGAGGCTGAACTCGGACTCCATCATGGGCTGCATAGTCAACACAGCCAGGTGCCGCACGTTGAAGTACTCTAGCCCAGAGAGCTCGGGGAAGAACTTGCGCGTTAGGCGGGTGGGTAAGGGGTCTGCAGCGCGAACTTCATTGTCTCTGCTAGCTGACTGCGTCCGCTGGTGGCCCAGAGTCGGACCAGGTTCCGTGGCTGGGGATCGGAAGAGGTCCTGGCGGGGATTGCGGTCGCGCTGCTGCTCGCGTGACTGCTCCACGGCCACGATTCGCGGGATGTCGTCGAGGGTGATGGCATCGTTTTGCCCAAACATCCGGTCCGTCGACGCCTGAGGTCCGAGATCCTCCGCGCCAGCTGACCCGGGCCGTGGGCCTTGGCCATCGGCATCCATAACACGCGACGTCCGAGCTTGCCTAACGCTGGACGACAGGTGGCGGTCTAGTCTCGTACTCCGAAGTCTTCTGACTTCATTGAGCGTATTCTCGTATGTCGACTCGCGGTGGCTCTGTTCCTTGTCTCCCCTTCCGGCAAATGATTTCGATCTCGCGTCCGAGCTCAAGAAGGCGGGTGCGCCAAGCTTGCCCTTGTCAGCGTTGGCTTCCTCTGAGGGGTACGGCAGGGCGCCGCTGCTCCGGAGGATATCCAGCAGTCGCGCCAGCGCTACTTTGAGGAGGAAGACGTATTGCTGAAGCTTGGTGACGCGCTCGAATTGCAGTGACCTGTCCGTGTTGACAGCCACACAACTTGTGCAGTAGATATTGTGGTCAAAGGCGTTGTATTGCGCCTCTCCGAGCGATCGTCCCAGTTCCCGGCCGCAGCGGTTGCACTTGACGCAGGTCCAGTGCCACCTGTACTCGCCGTTCTTGACGCACTCGTCCTCGACTGATCGGTTGCAAAGGGCGCAGTGGTCCGAGTCCTTCAGAGCAAGTCGCGCACCGCCCATAGCCATCTGCAACAGGCCCTCGTCGGTCTTGTACGTTTCAAAATCGGCGAGATCGTTGAGGAGCTGGTGTAGGCCGTCGCTGTTTCCGGACTCTCGTTCGAGCCGCAGAGCTCCTTGAAGACAAATGCGTATCAGGAGTTTGAGGTAGTGGGCAAGACCCGTGACTAGCGAGAGGAGTTCTTGCGTGACGCCCAGTTTTCGCGCTGTGGTGTCTTGGGCTTTGGAAAGTAGCGAGAAGAAGGAGACGATCTTTTTACAGAGAAGTTTGGCTTCGCGTCCGTAGGACAGGCCTTTTCCAGGGTGGAATTGTGTGTCAGCGTGTAATCCATGCTTTAAGCTTGCGGCCGGCTCGTGCTAGACGATAACGTTGCTTACCTTTCTCACTGTGGCTCAGTACCATGCCGTCAAGTCTATCCGCAGACTGGAACAGCACCTCGACATGCCAGATGAAACGCTTGGCAACCAGGACGCCGTCGACGTACGCTCCGTTGCTCACGTGCAGGAGCATGTCGGAAATGCAGGCAGCAGACGACTCCTCAAAGGTCGAGAGGACGCTCCAAATCCGATAGACTTTTTCCTCCATGCGCTCCTCCTCGTCACGGATGAGCTCCCTTTTGGCCGGGTCATCGGTCTCTGGAGCAGTGGGGAGGACGTCCGCAGCCTGTCCCAGGCGGACGTTCCAAAACTTGTGTATCATGTAGCACTCCGGGTGCCAGTGTTGGTTCTGCCCGTTTCGGAAAATCTCGACAAACTGCTTCAGGATGGCTGTCTGGCAGCCGTTGCACTTTTGGGCATGCTGCGTTGAATAATGGTAGTGGCAGTACACGTTGCCGTCATGCTCGTAGTAGCTGTCCTGGGCGCCGAAGATGGTGGGGCATAGCGAGCATGTGAAGTGGTCAACATGGTACTTGCGGTCGAGGGCGGTGATGTAGGAGCCGCGCAGGGCGCCGCCGCACTGGTAGCAGAGCAGGCCCAGGCGTCGGAAGTAGTCGGTCTCACAGAGGGGATATTGTCCCTCGCCGTTCTCATCATCCGCCGGGAAGAACTTGGATGCGACGATGTCGCCGCAGTCCTGTAATCCATGTTAGCGATGCGTCCAGGAGGTTGGCCAGGTGAGGACAAGCAAAGAGAATGCACATACTCGGCACTTGAAGCAGTCGAGGTGGAACGTGCCGTCGAGGGCCCGGACGAACTGGCCCGTCAGCGGCTCGCCACACTTTTTGCATATTCGTGTCTGGCCGCTTGCGGTGCGTCCGTTTCTCTGTCGCGATCGATTCCTCTCCCCGCTGCGGCGAGGGGGCTGCTCGTCCGTCCACCCGGCGGGCGGGGGGGCTGAGGTGCTCGGGGCAGAGCCGGTGGGTTTGAGGCGGTACAGACTGTCCGGCGTCTTGCGGCCTCCGTTTTGCCAGTTCCTGTCTACTGGGTAGCCGGCGTCGGGGCCGTTGTAGTCGACGCCATGATCGCCACGGAGGCGGTCACTGGGAGGCCCTTCGTCGCGTTCGGACGCCATGGTAGCGAGTGATCCAGGGCGGCGTGTATGTACAGAATGAAGGGTCTCCGGCTCCTGCCGACCCTGTTTCTCGCGAAGCAACGGAGGGGGATGCCGAGTTTAGCAGGCAAGCCCGTCTCGTCTCAGCGCCGGATGTGAAGCCGTAGAGGACGAGGGGCTGCCGCAGCGGTCGGCATCAGCCAGGATGGCGCCAGTGTTCGGTAGCGACGCCAATTGAGGGTTCAGGGCGTGGGGCGCGATGCGCGGCAACACAGGCTGTCGTCGACGATGGCCTCGAGGCCGGGGCAGCGGGAGGTTCGCTGTTGGCGTTACTGCTGCCCAGCGGCGAGGGATTGCTGCGGCTGGTATTACGGGGTCGGTGCGGCGGCTGGCGAGGAGGCGGGCGGAGGCGACGAGGACGAGGACGGGAGGGCGGCGACGAGGACAGCGGCGGCGACGGCGACAATGACGGCCACGGCGACGGCGCCTGCTGGTCGGCGGCGGCGAAGCGATGCTGCAGAAATCGACAGGGGCTGGAAAGCATGCGAGGCTCGAGCATGTAATACCGAAAAATGGCGACGAGACTGGAGCGATGGATAGATGCAGGAAGCGGGCAGCGGCAGCACCAGCAGCACGACACGAGGGGCGGGTGGGTGGTTGGAGGTGCGGGAACCAGCTGTCGTAGCAGCGGTGCTGGGCACTGGGCTGCTGGGCTGCTGGGTCGCCGGGTCACTCAGTGGCAGGTTTAGAGTGGTGGCTGCCGCCCAGGCGTCAGCTCGACCAGAATTGGGGGGACCAGTGGGCCCAAGGTAAATGCTACTTGAGCTGGGAGGAGACGGCCAGAACTGGCGCTTCCTGGTTGTGTTGGCTGTCCCTACGGAGGCGCGACGGTGCTGTACGGTACGGTACGGTGCAGGCTGGCGGGTACCTCAGTTGGATGGACTTGGCCCTGGACGGGGAGGCAGTAAGGGGCAGGCGGTGGCCGCCAGGGCACGAACGGGAAGCCAAGTCAGGCACCGTTTGGCGGCAGCAGCGGGGACGGGTGTCGGTCCAGTGGAGGGAGCCCCATCCCGGGGGGGTCAGGAAATGGAACGGACGAGTGAGGCAGCGCGTTACGGGGCTCCGTGTATTACTTGGGGGCTGCTAAGGGTGGGTGGCTCGCTGGGTTTGGACGCATCGAGGTGCCGTTTTGCCCCCCGTCAGGTACGTTGTATCCACTGAGCGAGGAGATCAGGCCCTTGGAGGCCCTGGGAGAGTGCCCGTTCCTGGCACCAGAGGCCAGCGGCACGCCTCGATTGGACCCGTCAGCCGATGGAGCCCTGGAGGCTCCAAAATCGCACCAAGCCAGCCGGGGCAGAGGGACAGCGCGCCAGAAGGGGAAGCCCGGGGCGCCAATCGCCCACTGCGCAGCCCACCGCGGGCGGTTGCCACAGTTCTGGGAGCCAGCAAGCGCGCGTGTTTGGGCATCAGGTGTGGCCAACTGCAATTTCCTGCGCCCGTATCCGTCCCGTCGAGGTCGACGATCGCGCACCCAGCATTATGTCCCGGTCGGGAGAGGAGGATGGGACCGGCGACTGGCGTAGCGTTGCACGAACCGAACTACGTGTACTATAGTATGTACGCGCCTCACACTTTTGTTGGACCTGAAGCCGGAAGAAGCAGGCGATGCTGGACTGCGGTTGCTTCCAGGTTTGCTGAGCGACAGCCCCTGAGTGCCGTGACACACCACAGCTGCGCTGCTGTCGTTGTTGTTGCTATTCGATGGGACAAAGGCGTGCGACGTGGTGGCCGTCGTGGTAGTGGTTAGTCACTACCCTGTCGGTATCTGCTCCGTCGATACGTCCATTATGCCCAACCATAAGCTCAAGGCGAACATGGCCGCAAGCCTAGATGGATGGCGGATGACATGAGAGGGACGGGCGAAGGGGCTCCATCGCCGCCGCCGTCAACCAACAAAGACTGACGCCGCCCCGAGCAATGGCGTCACGGCTCGGGCCCCTCTCCCTCCCTCCCTCGGCCGGCAACCTAATATTGTAATGCCAGACCGCACCGCAGCCCGAAAATGCTTATTTTGCTGCCTCCAAGGCTACCGCACAACCCCTTCTTCCCTTGCCTTCCTCCCACGGCCGCCCACCTGGTGCCCACCCCATGCCAGCCAGGAGCCAGGGGCCCCCTATTTGCTCGTGCCTTGCGCGACGAGGACTGGGCTGCTAGTGGTTGGGCCCGAGCCCCCCCACCACCACTATCCAGGGGTCATGACGGCCACTTTAACACTTTTGTTCTCACGCGACTGACGGAGGCCAAGCAGCGAGCACCGCATTGTTCGTGCCTCAGAGCCCAGGCCACACACGGAACTGAAATGAAGGTCGACAGCTGCTCGGCAGTAGGGCGCGTCACGTGTGGCATCTGAAGCGCCAAGGTCCCTGGCGGGCAGGAGCACAGGCCGGGCCCTTCCCTGGCGGGATGCTGGACCTTACCTGCCTTGTACCTCGAGACACACGATGCGCATGCTGGGCCAGTACGGAGTACCTGATTTTGTTCGGGACAGCCCTCAGACGGGCATGTATCCGTACGAGTACACAGAGTCTGTGCTGCGAGCTCCGTAAGTTACGGCAAGTATCTTCCAGGGTGTCCGGCAGGTCGCCGCGCCCGCTTCAGGAATCAGGACCCCTGGCCCCTCTCGCGCTGACAATCAGCCCCATCCGCATCTGCTCCGAAGCGTCACTCACTCTCACTCATCACTCTTTGCCGACTTGCTGGCGCCTGCATGGCCAAATGTTCGTGTGAGCTATTTACTTGCACATGACAACAACGATATTCTTCTGCTGGCCCCTCCGCCAATCTGTGCGCCCTGTCCGGACTCGCAGCCGCTGAGATGCTCTGCTCGCTCGCCTCAGACGCGACCAGAGACAGGCGCTAGGCAACCTGAGCACCCGCGGAAATTGCATGCTTCATTCTTGCAACATCAACATCAACAACACGCAGCGCTCCCTCCCTCCCTCCAGCCATACATTCATCCATCCATTCCCCTCCACGCTCTGCCGAATAACTAAACGCAAGGCCCCGGGGCGTCTCACCTCTCAGACACCCCCGAATGACGTCCTCGTACGACTACGTCCTATTCGTCCTGCACCAGCTGCCGCAGCCGCTTCTCAATCTGCTGCCTCCCATCGAGTGTCTCCCACACCCGATGCGGCGCTCCGTTGACAATGTCCCAGTGCCGCAGCTCGTCCGTCAGCTCCGTCAGGTCCCTCTGCTTCTCCTCCCACGCCTTGCTGCGCTTGACTTCCTTGCCCGAGCTGATGACGACGAGCGGCTTGTCGCGTTCCTGGATCTGCCGGCTGCTGCGCACGTCCCGCTTGGTGAAGGAGTCGGCCACGAGGCTCTCCTGCAGCTGCGCAAAGATGAACTTGCCCCTCTGCTGCGACGCCCGCCCGTAGATGCGGTCCCTGTTGGTCCGGCCCCGGAAGATGGCGCCCGTCAACCGGTCCAGCCCCAGGGGTGATATGATGCCGCGCAGCCACAGCAAGAAGCCTCGGCCGGGTCGCGCCACGGCGCCGAGGAAGTCCTCGTGCAACGGGTCGATGAGGAGCAGGCCCTTGACGTCATGGCCATGACGAGATGAGAAGACGCGGGAGTAGATTGACCCGATGCCCGCGCTGGCGAGGATCCACGGCCCCTGCTCTCCCGCCTCGGCGAGCGCTTCGCTCAGGACGTCGACAGCGAAGCCTGCCGACAGCGGCGACGGCGCAGTGTCGGACCATGCGATGCCTGGCCGGTCCGCAAAGCAATACCGCGAGATGGATCCGTTCTTGATGGCGTTATCCGCAAATCCCCACAGCTGTTCCTCGAACGGTCTCTCGCCGGCCTCGAAGAGCACGGTCGGCGTCTTGTGTCCGTCGGCGTCCGTTTCGTTGCCATGGCAGTATAAGTGGATGCGATACTTGCCGTTGTCCACCTGGTAGAGCTTGCCCGGCGGCGCAACGCCGGCGTCGAGGGCTCGCAGAATGATTGTCAGAGTGATGAGCACCACGGCAACGACCATGACAGAGTATCCAATGGTCGAGAGCAGAACGGCAAGCCATTCGGTCAGAGTCCGCCTCGTCTCAGCCCGGCCCGTCAGTCTCTCTTCTTCTTCCTCTTTGCCCCACTTGACGGCTCGGTCGGTGAGCAGGGTCCAAAGGCTCATGAGCAGAACCCAAACGACGCTCACGATGCCGACCCATCCTTCCTCGTACCGCGTCTGCTGAACGCACAGCAGGAGGATCATGTCGAGCAGCAAGAAGAACTGTAGTGCTCAAGATTAGCGCCAGGAATACTCGAGATTTCGGGCACGACCTACCGCCATGACGATTGCCAGTATCCTGACGGCCTTGGATGGCACGCCAAAGAAGACGAGCGTAAAGAGCAGGCTGGCAAGGGCGAGACTTGTGTAGCTGAAGGCGAAGAAGCCACTGCCACGCGTGTGCAGGCCCGGAGGCGTCGCAAAAGTAGACACCAGCAGCACGACCCACCACGCAAAGGTGACAGCCGTGAAGAGCAGGGTCAGATACCGCAGTATGCGGATGCTCCAGAGATTGTACGGCGAGACGGCCGGGTCGTCAGGCGTGAGCATGCCGCGCGGGGGGGTCGAGTCGACGCGGTTGGGGAGCAGTCGCGTGTGCTCGTCGGGAGGCGGCTGCTCGGCATCGTCGTCGTCGTCGGCACGGGGCCGGTTCTGGCCTTCACGCCTCTCCTCATCGTCGCCCTGCTTCCGCGAGAAGAGGGGCATCGTGGGCGGTGAGCTTCTGCTGAGAAGCTTGTGAGCTAGCTGGGCCGTGTAAGCAGGCAAGTCGGGTCGGGACACACTGCCCGGCGATGGTCGTCGTGTCGTCTCGAGAACTCGCCACGGCTGACGAGGAGAGAAGCAAGCAATGTACGTTCTCGGCAGTTGGGATTATGACTTGGTCTTGGGATTTCCTGATTCTCCCTCGGGATGTTTCGCCGCCCCGTCCGGCCACCGGCCATCGACCGTTTCTGTCGTGGCCGCAGAGGTGGTGCAGCGCAGCTCGATCGGGAATCGCAAAAGCCCATGCTACGTCATCACTCATCATTAAGCCCTGCGACGCGCGCCCGCGCGGCCAATCATGACCCCCCTCAGGCGGCGGAGCTAATGGTCCAGGCCGCCTAGAGCTCCCCCCAGAAACCTTCCTTCGCGGTGCTGTGCGCTGTGCTGCTGCTGCCGCGGGCGGTCGCCGCACAATTCGACAAAGGTCTAGGTCTTAGTGGGGGGTCACGGGTTCACGACCGAGGGCGAACAATCGTCGTCATCAACGCTTGCGCGATGAACGTCCCTCAGTATGCCCCGGGTTGCCGGCTTAGGTTTCCGGCTAGGACGTCGATGCTCTCCCCCCGTCCGCCCCACGACTGCCTCGGACGGCCGTCTCGATTGCCGAGCGAGCTAGCTATTCGGGAGCCTCCCCGACTCCCCCCCATTGTTTTTGTTCAACGAACATGGAGCCGTGGTCCTTGCTCCCTTTGTTCCTCCCCCCGGTCCCGTGTTCCCACTATACCTGAGATCGACCTCTACGAACGTGACAAAAGTATGTGTGTGAGAGAGAGGGAGAGGGACCCGCCGATGCGCCGATCCGGAGACGTGCGAGTTTCAGATTGATGCGCGGATGTGCCTGCATGAACTACATGAATTCTGAAAACTCGAGAAGCTTTCTTGGCCGTTCTCAGGATTCGGTGATGTTCGCGCCAAGGGAACGCTCAACTTGTTTGGGGCCCAGCTGTAGACTCATGCCTCCCTCCCGCGACGTAGATTAACCATTGGACATGTCTCGATAGTGTGACCGAAAGAGGCGGAGGAAGTCACGGCTAGTATGCGCAGAAGCACGGTGCGTATAGGACATTTGTTCGTCAGGTTCGTCTTGAATGGACCTGAGCAGGTGATGGTAATTGACCACATACGCAAATGTAGGCCCGTTTATAATGAGAGCCCTCGCTAAAACATAAAGATTTGAAACCCTCCGAAACGCAAGCCATGCTCGTGCAACTTTAAAACATGATATACGTACAGCACGGCCAGGTAATGGCGTCCCAGATGCCCATGAGACTCCAACCCGGTCATCCCTCCCTGTCCATGAATTGCTCCCCGCTGCCGCCTTACACCCACGGGGCAATCTGCCTCGCCTCCCTGGTGCTCGCGTTGGAGGACATCCCGCTCGACACCGACTGAGAGCCGCTCCGCCCCGTGTACAGCTGCCTCTCCGCATTCTCCTTGGCCCTCTGCTTCAGCGCCTTTTCCGGTCTGGGCCCGCGGGTGGAGGTCGTGACGCCGTCGGGCACCTTGCCGATGGGCAGGTGCATCTTCTCCGCGGCCTGGGGGTCGTTGCGTTCGATGCCGTGCTTCTTGTACGCGGTCCGCTTCTGGTTCTTCATCGCCTGGGCCGAGGGCTCGGTGACGGACACCCAGTCCTTGACTTGCTTGAACCACCGGGGTTTCGCGCTTCGGTCTTTGATGTCGTTGGGTGACGCTCTTGGGCTTGTTGCGTACTCGCCATCGGAGTGTGTGAGGTTCGACGATGTTCTCGCGTGCGCATATGCGTCCCTCGGGGCGGACCTCGCCGGCACGTCCATCGCGGACGGCTGAGCAGCGGTTGGCCCGATGCTTTGAGCGAGCCCGTACAGCCGGTTCGGTTGGTTTGGCTCGGGGCGATATAAGAAGTTGCTGAAACCGTGAATGCTCGCCGGTGTGAAGTCTCCGTGAACCAGGGGGACTACTCCAGACTGAAAGTGGTTGTGCTATAACCTTCGAGACACGCCGCAAGTCTCAAGTGAAGTGGTCTTGTTCAATGGCTCCGGGTCGTCGTCGAAAAGACAACTCGATTAGCCGATATGGTGTGCGGCCGCAAAGTGAGCGCGACAGATAGAGGGCGAGACGGCGCTGGCGGACGGATAACGCTCGGGACACCGTCAGAGGGCCCTGGTTTCGTCAACGCGGCGATCCGGGGCAGAAAAGGGCTTCCGAGCAAGACACTGCATGAACTGCAGACGCACGCTCAGCCGTAGCGTCGGAGCCGCCTCCGCATGAGAATGACGGAGGAGCAGGACGGCGACAGAATGCTACGCCACCGCAGGCGCACAGACTGACGGCGAGGTGAAAAGAAGAAAGCATGGGTCGGCTAAAGGGCCAGCCGCGAAGGGCTGCCTGGCATTTTTTGGGCTGTGTTGGCCATGAGGGGGTGGGTGGTCTGGCAGACAGCTGACGCAAGATGGGCAACGAGCCCGCGGGCATATATCCGCTGCCGTTCTTGTCAAGTCCGCCGAGGCAGACGCTCCAACTCTGAGGACAGGCGGATGGCCGGGTGGGTGTAAATGCTTCTGACCGGCTGCTTAAGCGCGGAACATGGGCCCCAGTCACCAGCAGAAGGACATCAGGGCCGAAGCGAGTGCCACTTGCTGTCGAGACTTGCAAAGTTGGCCTCCTCGATGGCTGTGGCCGCGACGCCGCAGTAGCGCAGCCGGGGGGGTCTGGAAGCACTCGTGCGTTCTGTCTGTTGCTGGCGCCTGCCATGCCCTCACTAGCTATCATGTTTGCATGCACGTCCAGAATTAGGTGCAGTCCGTAGCGTTTTCCAAGACTGGCGTCTCGTAGACGCTGCGCTAGCTGCCAGTTGATCGGGCTTTGGCGCCAGCACTGGTGTGCCAATGATGCTGCGAAGACGCAACCATGTCGCCCTTGCTAACTGCACTTGAAATGACCTGCATCGACCGGCCAGAGACGGCCTGTACGAGCTCGAATCTCTGGAAACCGGCAGGCTTGGCGGTGCGATTCGCTCTTGTGGCGGCGCACTGAGAAGCTGTCGGCCAGGCTCCCTGGTGAGACTGGATCGTTGCATCCAGTGAACCTTGGATATCTCCGATCCTGTTGGCTTTTTCTACGGGGTTTGACTCCGTCGAGTGTGCTTTAGGCGTGTTGCACATGCATGGCCCGAGCCGCTCATCCGAGCCAGCTCCAGTAACGTGAGGCATCTCGTGGAGCGTGGTGGCCTCGCCCGGAGCAAGTCGACGCATCCATCAAGGTCGCAGCATCTGCTTTCACACCTGTGTTAACCTTGGGTCATCAAAGCAAGAAGAGGCGCCGTGGTCAAAGCCCAGGAGCGAGCAGTACGCGGCTCCGCTCCGGCCAGCACCCCAGGCTGCCTCTCGTCAGTTGCCAGCCAGCCGGTCAGGTCACCACAGATCTCTCCGCGACAACGCGAGATCGATAGTCTCATGCCGGTCGCTGTGGCGAGCGCTGGCCCGACCGAGGTCGAGCCCGCCGAGCGAGTGCTGGCGGGTCCAACAGGCGAGGCGCGGGCCACCACCTCACCCCCCTTGCACCGCCGCGAGCCAGGCCCCTGGATATTGTGGCGCTAGCGAGACGCGGAGCAAGGAACACACGGCACGCTCCGAGAAAGAAAGAAAAAGCAAAAGACAAGGCATGCAGCGGCGATGGGTCGTGCGAAAGAGGTATTGGCATTCGCTGGGATTGACGGAAGGTCGACAGCGGGCTTAGTATGGCCAAGGCACTACTGTGAAATACCTATGTCGTTGCCTCTGCGAAAATCCGCGGCTGAGGAAGGCAGCACGGGGCGTTGTTGCTGGAAGGTTAGCATTCTTCGTGTTAGTGCTAAGCAATGAGGTACTTCGCATAACGTTGGTCGTGACCATGACGATCTGTCCTACGTCGCATCATACTGGAAGCCATGCTCCATGCAAAGATTACGTCGCCCAAGGCTCGTATAATATGGCATAGAGCATGTCGTTTCGTTCACCATTCTGGACGACTGTTTTTACGAGTTTTATTTTGGTCTCGCAGGTCTAGGGTAGCCCAAAGTGCCGCTCGCCCGCGCCACAGTCACTGCCACCGGAGAATGCACCCAGCAAGAAGCTCAGACTGCTGCCTTCCACGGGGCTCCTCCTCGCAGGAAGCCCCGCCATCGCCTCATCCCAGCTCATCGCTCAGCACTCATCAGTCACATCATCGCACCCTTGTGTTGTGTGTGTCGCGCGTGTCCGCCAAACCTTCACCAACCACCACTCACCACGCACCACCACCACCACCACCAACATCGCCAGCGTCGTCGCAGCCCGCCGCCATGCCCGCATGAGGCATTACATGACGCGACGAGCGCTGTCCCCTGCCCGCAGCAAGGCCGCCGGGCGACCCGCATCGGCGTGAGCTGTCTGCCCTGCACCTGTCCGCCGCCACCCCTCCCGAGCCGCCCCCGACTCCCCCTCCGTTCGGCTTTCCGCCCCCCGGTCCCGGAGGCGGTTTCTCGCAGAAGCCGCGCGGTGCTGTCCCGCCCCCTCGAGGAGCTTCACACACACCACGCCGTTTGCACATCGCAACTCAAGCCGGGCACCATACATCTCCCGCGTCACCGCCCTGCGGAAAACTCATTCGACGCCCCCGCCGTGCACCCCGGCCCGACCACCGGCCATGGCGCCGCAGCAGACCCCCGTCCCTCCTCCTCCCATCTCCACCTCGGTGCCGCCGCCGCCCGTCCCCTTGTCCGCGTCCACATCCGCATCCGCATCCGGAGCCGCTCCCGCTCCCGCGCCAGCGCCGCCCACGGAGCCCATCCCCCCTCCCCCCTGTCTCTTATACACATCTAGATGTGTATAAGAGACAGCGTCCACGCTCTCCCCCCAGCCCGCTCAGCAGACCGCCGTCCCGCCCCCGCCTCCGGAGCCCCTTGACTTCGACGCCAACCCGGACGTCCTCGCCCTCAGGTCCGCCATCTCTGTCCTCCAGGTCCAGAAGCGACGCGCCGCCGCCGACATGCAGACTCTCACCCGCGCCAAGGACGAGGCCCTCGCGGACCCCGAGGCCTTCATGCGCGACCTCGCTGCCGGCAAGGTACACTCCCGTGGTGACGAGGCGAGATATGTGCCGGGCAGCGCCAACGACGACGAAGACGAAGACGACGACGACAGCTCGGACGAGGATGCCGACTCCGGCTCCAAGCCTGGTCGAGAGCCCAAGCCCAAAGCGTGGACATCGCTTCCGCAACCCCAAAACGTCGTCCGCTGTCCACCCATCAACTGGTCCCAGTATGCCGTCGTCGGCGAGTCCCTCGACAAGCTGCACGCCGAGCAGGTGTCCCGCCCGACGCAAGGCACGCCCGCCTCCATCGGCACCGGCGGCGTCTACGAGTTCAAAGGCGACGGCCGCCAGGAGAAGTATCCCGGTGTCGCTGCGCCTTACGCCCCAGGCAAGGACCGCATCGACAAGAAGCCCAAGGGAAAGAGGTCGTAAAGGAGGAATCCTTGCGGGAACCCTGGCCCCGTCTGCCGGACAAAAGTCATTCGGGATGCTGTTACGAGTACAATACGAGTGCATTCTATGGCGTTATGCTTTCATTGGCCATGTTCATGATTACAACGATTTCGCGGGATTGGGTTGGTGCCAGGGGTAGCCAAGGTTGTCCCACAGTTGTTGATTACGGGGTAGCTTGCCTCTGAGATGGGAATGAAACAAATAATGCTTGCCATGATTGATGGCTCTCGCCGCCATGTGCCGCTATAGCCCTTGCCCAGCTCCAGCCGTCACACCGAATTCTCCTGATTTCTCGACAGCCAAGCGCTATCACTACACACAAGTTACGTGTCAGTAAGTTGTTTATTTGGCTGATTTAACTCATGAAAATGTTCGCCCAATGCGAAATAAAGCTGCGGACGGCTCCTGTTGGACCTAGTAACACAAGATGGGACGTCGTCTGAGTCCTTGCTTCTCGGCCGTCGCGGCGGCCACGCCCTCGTCACACCACAAGCGCGGTCAGCTACGAGTCGTAACCACCTCAGCTCCAATCACTTCCTTCGGGTCCGGCCCTCATCGAAGAGCCTGGGGTTCGGCCTGTTCTCACTCTGGCCGATGCGCTACTCCGGAAAGTCCCTGCACGATGTCAGTTCACGTTGCCAAATGGCTAGTCTGATCATACGCACTCCATGCTCTGTTGTACAGACCGTCGCAGGCGGCGGCTGTACATCTTCTTGCTGTCCGAGTTGATGCCCCAGTACAGGCGGGTGGCTTCAGGGTTCACAATCATCCGGGGATCGTAGGCGGGCTCTTCCTCCTCCAGGGCGGATATGATGGCCTCGATGTGTGACTTGATATCCTCCCGCTTCAAGGGATTTGGGACATAACACGCCGTGCCGTCCTCGGCCACGTGGTGGTGGAAAATCTTGGTCTCAAAGCTGACCCGGGGCTGCTCGTCGGGGAAGCGTGGGCTGAAACTCATTCTGATGCGCAAGAGCCCTCCGTCCAGGTTGGTCATTGGGCGGCCAAAGTACGTGATGATCCAACAGAAGGGGTTGTCCTGAACAAGCGCCACGTCGTGGGGCATGTCGCCGCGTTTGAAGGCCGCCGAAACCTGCTCGAACTGGTGCTGCAAGTTCACGCATACCGTCGACTCCTTAGCCATGGCCGCGACGCCCTCCTCGGCCCAGACCTTGGGCTCGTCATCGAGCGCGACTTTGATGTTGTTCAGCCTGCGCTCGAGCTCGGGGTAGTTGAACCGGCCCTCCATGCTGTTGTGACTAGGCGACTCAAACGGCATCCTCGTGAAGACCTGATTGACCTTAACCTCGGTCTTGCCCGCCTGGATGGCAGCGAGGTACGACGGATAGTACCAAAGAAAGCGGCGCTTGCAGAGGTCCTTGAAGGGCTCGAAAGGGACAGCATTCTCGTCCGCCTCTTCAGTCTCCACGTCCTTGAGCCTAGAGCCGTCGGAGGCGAGCCCGAGGTAGCCTTCTAGACGCTGGATGACGGAGATGCGCAGGGTCTCATGGCGGATCTGCGTTGTTTTAGAAAGCGGATCGAGAAGTCAAAGAACAAGTGAGCCATACCTTCTCTATATAGGCCTTTTGCATTCTCTTGTCCGACTCCTCGTTTGCATCCTCGAAGCCGGGCTCGTTCTCGTATGGGTTGGACGATAGAAGGCTCTGAATGGACAGCAGTATGGACTCGAGGCCTTGCGCGGAAGACCACTCCTCGCCGGGCTCACCTCTCCATGTCCTGTTTGCGAGTTAGAGAATGGCCACGGCGGTTTGCAGCCACGCACGGGAATGATTGCTCACCCAAGGATGGACCTGGCCAACAGATTAGCATCGAACGAGTTCTGCACCATCGCCGCTCGGCCAGGTGCACTTACAGACAGATCTTGCCGTTAGCATAGATATTTGGGTTGAACCGACACAAACCGCCGTTTGTCGTCACGCACTGTACATTAGGCGCCTTGGACGGGTACTCTGCAATGCATGAGCTACAGTTGCCCGAGGTCGGGTTGCGTGGCCGAAACTATACCTTTGTTGAAGCGAATCGCAAACTATTTTGGAAATCGAGTCAGAGACGGATTCACGCAACGAAACGACGCTTGAAGTGGGAATGCCGTCCTACCTCGAAGAAACCGAACTCATACGGCGTCTCGTGAGGGCCGACAATGAGGGCCTTGACGTTGCGGACATCAATATCGCGACACGCAACGGCGATGCCTGCGAGGCAAACAAACGTTAGTGTCGATGAAATGGCACGGGGAGGCGGCTGTTCATACCAAGATCCGAGCCTCTTTGGATGTCGCTAAGCTCCTGGACGGTGATGATGCATGTGTCAGCCTTGTAGGGCCCCGCGAGGGAGGGATGCGGGGCAGTCATGGGCGAACCTTGGAGATGCGGATAATGGACTGATCCATGGCGCCTGTCAGCGTCGGCGGGCTGCGAGGCACGAGACAGGGTGGCTGCGGAAGAGGGCGACCATGAGGAGGAGGATGCTGGGCGGCAAAAGGATGCAGTGAGAAATTTGTTGCACAGCCGGGCTGGCCAGACGGTCTGGAGTCACGAGCAGCGCGAGGCTCTTCTGGGATGGAAACGTCCGTGGTCGAGGGGAGAGTGTGTGAATGAAAGGGTTCAGGCAGACTGCAGGCAGAGGTGCGGCGAAAGATGACCAGTCCAGGCAGCTGCTGCGTTGGGGTCAAAGGTGGGCTGGAGGGGTAGCTCGGGAGTCGGGACTTCCAGAGCTTTGTTGTCTGGCAGCTTCCGGGCGTCAGAGGGGCCCCGGCTGCTCCTCAGGTACCTACCCAGGAACCTTGGCAAGGCACTGTATATTCGTACAGTGGACTGCAGCGGCACTGCACTGCAGGTGCATCCACGGAATGCACGAGTGGCCAGGCCGGCTACGCTTGGTCCCCTAACACACCTCAATGATCGGGCAGGTAGGTGGAATCCAAGTTCACGGAGACGGCTCGAGGCCTCATCAATTACTGCTGAAGACGAATCCATTCATCCGCACTTGGCGCAGCCCGTCAGCGCATCGGCGCCTTGGGTATCCAGACTGTCAGGCCATTTCGCCTTGCCGTAAAATTGCTTGAACAGGCACCTCAGGCTGGCAAGTAAAGTTAAGAGTACCTGGTAGGCAATCAGGTACGCTTGCGGCGAACCTGGGCAAGGCGCCTCTCAGCTCGAGCGGTGACGTGGTGTATGTATACCATTGAGCGGGAGCGCATGGCCGTGGCGTTCTCCCTCGCTTGCTGGCCGCGGGAGCGATGTGGCATCACCATAGTGGAGGAAACCCGCCGGACGGCGGGCTGCCAACTCGATCCGCAGTATTGGCACAGCGCGTTCCACTTTCCATGTCTACGAAAAGGCCATATCGTCACTTCAAGTCCTAGATTGCCACCGTACATGACGTACGTCGATCCGTTGGAACTTGCATAGTAGGTCACGAAGTCCCTAAACGAAGTGCCGTCTCTTGCGGGGGTGCGGCACCCGGACGGCCTCCCCAACTTACACCCGACCGGCGCCTCCAGCTGTCCCTGCAGGTGAGGGGCGTTCTGGCAGGGGTCCGGCTGCTAAGGCGTCGCCGCTGACACGCGCCACCGCACAGCGTCGCGTCACCTGCGCCCAGACGCGTTAATCGATTTTCAAGACCTCCAACGACCGACCATCACCACCACCGTGAGGAAGGGACCGCGCCCGCCCACCTCTACACGCCGCCCCCAGTCCATTGTCGCGTCACCATAAAACCCTCATCCTGCGACGAGCAATGGCCAGCTTCTTCGACCTCAAGGCGCGCAAGGCCGCCGCCGCCGCCAATGGCCCGTCAGACCAGAAGAACCAGCGTCACGCCGAAGTGAGGAATCAGCCATGGGTAGAGAAATAGTGCGGTCCCGCTGTCCTCGCTCCGCTGCCACTCCCAAGCTGACTGTCTTGTTTGCAGCCGTCCGAAGACGCTCAACGATGTGGCCGCGCAAGATCACACCGTCACAGTACTCCAACGCACCCTCCAGGCCTCCAACGTACGTCGCCGACAGCGCAATATTCGATGCACACACTTGAGAGGAGATGAAGCTGACTGCTACCCTAGCTGCCACACATGCTCTTCTACGGCCCACCCGGCACGGGCAAGACGTCCACGATCCTGGCCTTGGCCAAGGAGCTATACGGCCCCGAGATGATCAAGGCCCGCGTCCTGGAGCTGAACGCCTCCGATGAGCGCGGCATCTCCATCGTCCGAGAAAAGGTCAAGGACTTTGCGCGCATGCAACTGACGAATCCGCCGCCACACTACAAAGACAAGTATCCCGTCCCACCCTTCAAGATCATTATCCTCGACGAGGCCGATTCCATGACCCAAGACGCCCAGAGCGCCCTGCGCCGGACCATGGAGACATACAGCAAGATCACACGCTTCTGCTTGATCTGTAATTATGTGACCCGAATTATCGACCCGCTTGCCAGCCGATGCAGCAAGTTCCGCTTCAAGAGTCTTGATCAGGGCAATGCAAAGAAGAGGCTCGAGGAGATTGCACAGAAAGAGGGCGTTTTGTTGGAGGATGGGGCGATAGATGCCCTCATTCGCTGCAGTGACGGCGACTTGCGAAAGGCAATCACCTTCCTACAGAGCGCCGCTCGACTGGTCGGGGCGATTGCTCCTACGAAAGACGCCGCCGATGCCGAGGAGATGGACGTCGACAAGCGCCCGGTGACGGTCAAGATCATTGAGGACATTGCCGGCGTCATCCCCGACAGCACAGTCAATCAGCTTGTCGCTGCCATGCGCCCAAGAGCCTCGGGAGACGCCTATGATGCGGTCTCCAGAGTCGTTGAGGACATGGTTGCCGACGGATGGAGCGCGACCCAGGTCGTGTCTCAGGTGAGTATCCCCCGCGGATCTGACAAGCAGAGACTAATAGCTTTAAAGCTTTACCAGGCCCTGACCACCGATGAGACTATCCCGGATCTTCAGAAGAACAGGATAGTAATGATCTTCTCAGAGGTTGACAAGAGGTTGGTTGATGGCGCGGACGAGCACCTCTCAATCCTGGACCTGGCAATGAGGATATCGGCGGTCATGGCTGGAAAGTAAATGGCACGTCAAGCTACCTACAGTATGCATGCTTGGGTGGAGTTTGTGACATATGGACGGCGTTGGGGGCGAACATGCAAAAGGCTTGCGACTAGCCGGCATGCGACATAGACGTAATGAATTTCGAGGCTCGCTAATCTGCATCATCATGGCCTATCAGGCCGAGGTTCCCATGCAAAATCGACCACGGGTCTCCCTTTTGAACCGTAGGTTTTGTCTCCTTCTTCGAATGCTTCCGGACAGCGCCGCCCCGCCCCTCACTGCCCAGCCAGACGTCGTCCTCAGTCGCGTCCTCGACGACCGCATCCTCCTCGGATGCCTGCTCGCCTCGGCCAAGCAGCTGATCAATCTTGACAAGGCTCGTCATGCTGTTCTCGAGGGCAGCTTGGCCCCCGTCTATTGTTTCTGCAACAGCCTCTAGGGTTGCAATCTTGGCAGCGTCAGCCGCCAGCACCCATGGCTTGACGCGGGCCGCAACGCCGGCACGGTCCGCAGACTTGGACGTCATCTCGTATTGAAGGCCGGGCCTCCGCCTAAGCGAATCCTTGTCTGGGTGTGCGGGCAGAAGCTGGCTCTCTTCTGCAAGGCGATCAAGAACCTGCCGGGTGTCCTTGTTTCGCTTGCTTAGCACCGTGGTGATGTGCGACTTTTGTGTTATCGCCGCCTTTTGCTGTCTTGAGACTGAGATGATCCCCTCGATATATGGGGTGAGTAGGTGGTTCACCGGATCCTTACTGCCTGCCGCTTGCTTGCTCGCTTCTCCTGACTGCTCGGTGGGAGGTGGAATGGACGGCTGTGAACGATGTGCTAGGATCTCAACGAGGTCTTTCCGAGAAGAAACATATGCCGAGTATTTGCGCTGTATTTGCTGGAGCTGGGTCGTAATGGCTGCTTCATCAGCCTTGGAATGCTGATCCTGCTCCCCTGTCGCTACCTGAGCGGCTCCTTCGGAACCCTCCGATGAAGCCTTGCCCAGCTCCGTCTCGATCCATGTGATGAGTTCGTCACGTGTCGCGTTGAGAGCCTCGAGCTTTGCCCCGTTGCTGACGTTCGACTTGCTGCATCTGGCTCTCGCCTCGGCGAGCACGCGCTCTTCCTGCTTCAGGAGCAGCTTGACTCGCAGTACCGTCTTCTCCAGTTGGTGTAGTCGCTGATGCAAGTCGGGCTCTGCACCGCTCTGTTCCCTCACGAAGCTGTTGAGGACGACCTGCGGAACGCTGGGCAGCGGCTTGGAGCCATGGAAAATGTCCTCTGAGTCCAGGAAGGAGTGAAACGAGGCCGGCTTCTCGGAGAGGCGATCCAAAGAGCTCTCGATTGCTAGGAGGCACTCCTTCTTGCGACGGAGTTGCAATATCGCAAGCTGTTCTTGCAAAAAATCCGGTTCGCGGGATGACTGCTGTGGTCTTGCCTCGGGCTGGCTGGTTGTTGCCTCCAAGACCTCATCGAACTCGCGACGAGCGGCTGCATTTGCGTTCAAGGCGCTGATGTATTCTTTCTGAATGCCAGAAATCTCCTTGCTGGCGTCGACTTTGAAAACGCCATCGACCAGCGATAACGGGTGCGTGACTGGTCCATCACCAGTAAGGGAGCCCAGGTGGAGAGCTAGGATACGCCGAATATAGTTGACTTGCTCCCGTGGCTTGACGTAGCGCTCAAGGTCGGCTTTGACCCTTAGTGCAATCCCGCCAGGGTCGCTCATGTCGCCGTCTCATTACTCTGACCTGAGATTGGTGAGAATAAATCGGTTGGTATTTCGTTGCAAGAGGTCGTGTAGTCCACCAAGCCTGCGACGCGTTCGCCCCCCTCGTTGTGTGGCTGGTGGGCAGATGGCGCAGTGGCGCACCTGTGCACTAGCCACGATTGCACTAGCGCGTTTGCACAGCGTGGAGGCTCGCCGACAAGGCTGCCACTGGCTCTGAAATTTATCATCGAACCTCAACGCAACGCGACAGTGGCGGACGAAAACCAGTTCCCCGACCGCGCACAACTGATTCACCAGAGCCGGTGCATACTGGAATAACGCCGCGCGTCCTTCCCACAGCTGGCAGTCACATGGTGATTTGACGGTCGGGCTCCCCGAGCTTTCGTCGAGAACGCCGACGTTCTCCCCTCCCCGTCGCCATCGCGAGACACCTCACAACACGCGAGCCAACATGTCGGACCCTCACCGCGATGTGTCGCAGTACAAGTACTCGGCCATGTCCAACCTGGTCCTCCAGGCGGACCGCCGGTTTGTCACGCGACGAACCGACGAGGCCACGGGTGACCCCGAGTCTCTGGCCGGCCGGCTGAGCATCAAGGACATGGGCGGCCGCGTCGCTCGTGACGAGGCCCCGAAGCAGAAGAAGCAGCCCGGTCTGCCGAACATCCAGAGGGGAAGCCTCCAAGAAGGCGAGGATGTCCTGCTACGAGAACAGAGAAAGCGCAAGGCCGACGCCGCGCAGCAGAGAGCAGGCCTACTGGGCGCCAGCGACGCCCTGATCGAGGGAATCACCTATCGGCCACGCACCCCGGCGACGCGAGCGACGTTCGACCTCATCCTCACGCTCGTGGCGAGCAACTTGGGTGACGTACCCCACGACGTGGTCCGTAGCGCAGCGGATGCAGTGCTCGAGTACCTCAAGGACGACGACATGAAGGATCTCGACAAGAAGAAGGAGATCGACGACATTCTGGGAGTGGCGCTCAGCTCGAAACAGTTCAATGAGCTGGTCAACCTCGGCAAGAAGATTACGGATTACGATGTGCAAGATGACGAGGATGTCGACATGGGCGAGGCGGAAGCCGACGCCGAGATCGACGAGCGCCAGGGTGTTGCCGTGACCTTCGATGACGAGGAAGACGATGACGCCATCGTCAACGAAGTCCACGATCAGTCATCCGAGGACGAGGCTACCGACGAAGACGAGAACGAAGGTGCCGATGGCGTAGACGTCGACGGTGCGGCTAGTGACAACGAGGCCGTCGACACCAGCGTGTCTCACTCGAAGAAGACGCACGAGGACACTCGATCAATACCGGCACGCGATATCGATGCGTTCTGGCTGCAGCGGCAAATAGGAGCCCTGTATCCCGACGCGCACGAGCAGACCGACAAGACGAAGGCGGCGCTCCGGATCTTGTCCGGCGAGCCAGACGAACCCGACGGCGAGGAGAAGACGCTTCGAGAAATCGAAAACGACCTGATGGAGCTCTTCGATTTCGAGCACCACGAGCTCGTGCAGAAGCTTGTCGAGAACAGAGAGAAAGTGTTCTGGCTCACGAAGCTGGCTCGGGCTGAAAACGCCGAGGATCGCGCCAAGGTCGAGAGAGAGATCGCTTCTGAGGGTCTGCAAAGGTTGTTGCACGAGCTCCGAGGCGAGGCCACCGCGGACGGCGACAAGCGGAAGATGAGCATCAAGATGGACATTGACGTGCCTGCGTCCGCGGTCGCCGAGGAAGCCAAGCCTGAACGGCCGGAAGGGTACCTCGTCGGTGGCCTGCAGCCCAAGAAGGTCATCAACCTGGAGAACCTGGTGTTTGACCAGGGCAACCACCTGATGACGAACCCCAAAGTCAGGCTCCCAGAGGGGTCTACTAAGCGCACTTTCAAAGGCTACGAGGAGATTCACGTCCCGCCGCCTAAGAAGCGAAACGAACCTGGCGACGTCCTGATCCCCATCACGGACATGCCTGAGTGGGCTCGAACCCCCTTCAGCACCGCTCAGTCACTCAACAAGATCCAGTCAAAGTGCTATCCGTCAGCATTCGAGGATGACGGCAACATGCTCATTTGCGCACCCACTGGCAGTGGCAAGACCAACGTCGCGATGCTCACCATCCTGCGAGAACTGGGCAAGAACCGCAACCCAGATACCGGCGATATTGATCTCGACGCGTTCAAGATTGTCTACATCGCCCCTTTGAAGGCGCTGGTGCAAGAGCAAGTCGGGAACTTCGGCAAGCGACTGGAACCGTACGGTGTCCGCGTCTCGGAGCTTACGGGCGACCGTCAACTCACCAAGCAACAAATTGCTGAGACGCAGATCATCGTGACGACACCCGAGAAGTGGGATGTCATCACCCGAAAGGCCAATGATCTGACATATACCAACCTCGTGCGGCTCGTCATAATCGATGAAATCCATCTCCTGCACGACGACCGTGGACCAGTTCTGGAGAGCATCGTCAGCAGGACGATCCGCAAGACGGAGCAGACCGGCGAGCCGGTTCGTCTCGTCGGCCTGTCTGCTACGCTCCCCAACTACCGCGACGTGGCCAGCTTCCTGCGAGTGGACATGAACAAGGGCCTGTTCCACTTTGACGGCTCATTCCGACCCTGCCCGCTGCGCCAGGAGTTTGTTGGTGTGACGGACCGCAAGGCCATCAAGCAGCTGAAGACGATGAACGACGTCACGTACAACAAGGTGTTGGAGCACGTGGGGACCAACAGAAACCAGATGCTCATTTTCGTGCACTCGCGCAAGGAGACGGCCAAGACGGCCAAGTACATTCGCGACAAGGCGCTTGAGATGGACACTATCAACCAGATCCTTCGGCACGACGCAGGCAGCCGGGAGGTCCTTAACGAGGCCGCTTCACAGGCAACGGACAAGGACCTGAAGGACATCCTGCCCTACGGTTTCGGTATCCATCACGCCGGAATGAACCGTATTGACAGGACGGATGTTGAGGACTTGTTTGCGCGCGGCGCCATTCAGGTCCTGGTATGCACGGCCACTCTGGCCTGGGGTGTGAACCTGCCAGCGCACACTGTGATCATCAAGGGGACTCAAGTCTATTCCCCGGAGAAGGGATCCTGGGTAGAGCTGAGCCCGCAAGACGTCCTCCAGATGCTGGGTCGTGCCGGTCGACCTCAATTCGATACCTACGGCGAGGGCATCATCATCACCACGCAGAGCGAAATCCAGTACTATCTGTCGCTCATGAATCAGCAACTCCCCATTGAAAGCCAGTTTGTCAGCAAGCTCGTCGACAACTTGAACGCCGAGATCGTTCTCGGTAACGTTCGCTCGCGGGACGAGGGCGTCGAATGGCTCGGCTACACCTACCTCTTCGTTCGAATGCTTCGATCTCCCGGCTTGTACCAAGTTGGCGCCGAATACGAGAACGACGATGCTCTCGAGCAGAAGCGTGTTGATCTGATCCATTCCGCCGCCATGGTGCTCAGGCAGTCGAGCCTGATCAAGTATGATGAGAAGACTGGCAAGCTTCAGTCAACCGAACTCGGCCGGATCGCCTCGCACTACTACATCACGCACGGGTCAATGAACACCTACAACACGCTGATCGAACCGTCCATCAGCAATATCGAACTCTTCCGCGTCTTTGCCCTGAGCGCCGAGTTCAAGTACATTCCCGTGCGGCAGGACGAGAAGTTGGAGCTTGCGAAGCTGCTCGGAAGAGTTCCCATACCAGTCAAGGAGAGCGTCGAGGAGCCCCATGCCAAGATCAACGTCCTGCTCCAGGCGTACATCTCCCGACTCAGGCTCGATGGCCTTGCCCTCATGGCGGACATGGTCTACGTCACCCAGAGTGCCGGACGTATTCTCAGAGCCATCTTCGAGATTGCTCTGAAGAAGGGCTGGGCGTCTGTCGCCAAGACGGCCCTGGATCTCTGCAAGATGGCCGAGAAGAGGATGTGGCCGACCATGTCTCCCCTGCGCCAGTTCCCCTCCTGCCCCCGAGAGGTCATCCAGAAGGCGGAGCGAATTGACGTCTCGTGGCAAAACTACTTCGACTTGGACCCGCCTCGCATGGGCGAGCTTCTGGGCATGCCCAAAGCCGGCCGAAGTGTCTGCGGGTTCGTGGCCAAGTTTCCCCGTGTCGAGGTTCAGGCCCAGGTCCAGCCGATGACGAGGTCGATGATCAGGATGGAGCTCAGTATCACCCCCAACTTTGAATGGGATGACAGCGTGCACGGCGCGGCTGAGAATTTCTGGATCATCGTTGAGGACTGCGACGGCGAAGAGATCTTGTACCACGACACGTTCCTCTTGCGAAAGGAGTATGCCGAAGGAGAAGCGACCGAGCACATTGTCGATTTCACGGTCCCTATCACCGACCCTATGCCACCCAACTATTTCGTGTCGGTCGTCTCCGACAGGTGGATGCACTCAGAGACGAGACTCGCGGTTCCCTTCCACAAGCTCATACTTCCGGAGAAGTTCCCGCCTCCCACGGAGCTCCTCGAGCTGCAGCCCCTCCCCGTGTCTACCCTCAAGGTTGCCAGCTATGTCGACTTGTACCCTGGCTGGAAGCAGTTCAACCGGATTCAGACGCAGACTTTCAACTCCCTGTACAATGGTGACCAAAACGTCTTCGTCGGCGCCCCGACTGGCAGCGGCAAGACGGTCTGCGCCGAGTTTGCGCTGCTGCGCCACTGGACTCAAGGTGACGCCGGGCGAGCAGTATATATTGCGCCGTTCCAGGAGCTTGTGGACGCAAGACTTCAAGATTGGCAGAAGCGATTGGCACACTTGAATGGAGGCAAGGAAATCGTGAAGCTCACGGGTGACACGGCCACGGATCTCAAGATCCTCGAGAACGGCGACCTGATCCTGGCCACACCCACGCAATGGGACGTGCTGTCGCGGCAGTGGAAGCGCCGGAAGAATGTCCAGACGGTGCAGCTGTTCATCGCGGACGACATTCACCTGCTCGGTGGAGCCATGGGATACGTCTACGAGATCATTGTCTCTCGGATGCATTACATCCGAACGCAGACCGAACTGCCCATGAGAATCGTCGCCCTGAGCGTCTCTCTGGCCAACGCAAGGGACATCGGCGAGTGGATTGACGCCAAGAAGCACGACATCTACAACTTCAGCCCGCACGTCCGGCCCGTTCCTCTCGAGCTTCACGTGCAGTCCTTCTCCAACCCTCACTTCCCCTCGTTGATGCTGTCGATGGCCAAGCCTACGTATCTGGCCATCACCCAGATGTCGTCCGACAAGCCAGCAATGGTGTTTGTGCCCAGCCGAAAGCAGACCCGCGGCACCGCGAGGGACCTGTTGGCCGCCTGTGTTGCGGACGACGACGAGGACCGCTTTCTTCATGCGGAGGTTGAGCAGATGCGACCGCTACTCGAGCGGGTTCACGAGGAGGCTCTTGCCGAGGCGCTGTCTCACGGCATTGGCTACTACCACGAGGCCCTCAGCCAGAGCGACAAGCGTATTGTCAAGCACTTGTATGACAACGGCGCCATTCAGGTCCTGGTGGCGTCGAGAGACGTCTGCTGGGAGCTGACGAGCACTGCCCACCTCGTTGTTGTCATGGGCACTCAGTACTTTGAGGGCCGCGAGCATCGCTACGTCGACTACCCACTCAGCGAGGTGCTGCAGATGTTTGGGAAGTCTCTGCGGCCGTCCAAGGCCGGCAGCTCTCGTGGCGTCCTCATGGTTCCGCAGGTGAAGCGCGACTACTATCGCAAGTTCCTGAACGAGGCCCTGCCGGTGGAATCGCACCTACATAACTACCTGCACGACGCCTTCGTCACCGAGATCAGCACCAAGATGATCGAGTCGGGTGACGATGCCATCAACTGGACCACCTTCACCTACTTTTATCGCCGACTGCTCGCGAACCCCAGCTACTATAGCCTGACCAGCACGACGCACGAAGGCCTCAGCAACTACATGTCGGACCTTGTGGAAACGACTCTGCGGGAGCTGGCCGAGTCCAAGATCATCGACTATGACGAGGACGACGGCTCGGTCGCGCCGCAAAACGCCGCCATGATCGGTGCCTACTACAACATCTCGTACATCACGATGCAGACGTTCCTGCTGTCGCTGAGCGCTCGCACGAAGCTCAAGGGCATACTGGAGATCGTGACGTCGGCAACCGAGTTCGAGTCGGTGCAGGTCCGCCGTCACGAGAGCAGCCTCCTCCGACGCATCTACGACCGGGTGCCGGTGAAGATGTCCCAGGTGGAGCACGACTCGCCTCACTTCAAGGCTTTCGTCCTGCTGCAGGCACACTTTTCGAGGATGCAGCTTCCGATCGACCTCGCCAAGGACCAAGAGGTGCTCCTGTCGCGGGTACTGAGCCTCCTCAGCGCCGTGGTGGACATTCTCTCGTCCGACGGCCACCTCAACGCCATGAACGCCATGGAGCTGTCGCAGATGGTGGTGCAGGCCATGTGGGACCGGGACAGCCCTCTCAAGCAGATTCCTCACTTCACGCCCGAGGTTATCAAGGCGGCTGGGGAGTTTGGGTGGGTGCCGCCAGCTGATTGCTTTTGTGACCCCAAGAATGACGCGCTAATGTGCCAATGCAGAATCAAAGACATTTACGAGTTCATGGAGGCCATGGACCCCGACGAGAACCCCGATCACGGCAAGCTGGTGAAGCGGCTGGGCCTTACGCAGAGCCAGCTCGCGCAGGCTGCCAACTTTACCAACGACAAGTATCCAGACCTGGAGCTGGAGCACGAGGTCGTGGACGACGACGAGATCAGGGCCGGCGAGCCGGCATACCTGAACATCAAGATCGGGCGCAACGCGGACGAGGACGATGGCGACGTCGACACGACGGTGCACGCGCCGTTCTACCCGGCCAAGAAGATGGAGAACTGGTGGCTCGTCGTGGGAGACCAGAAGACGCGCAACCTGCTGGCCATCAAGCGCGTCACGATCGGGCGGGAGCTCAAGGTGCGGCTCGAATACACGGTGCCAACGGCTGGAGAGCACGCGCTCAAGCTGTACCTCATGAGCGACAGCTACGTGGGCGTGGACCAGGAGCGCGAGTTTACGGTGACGGCAGCCGAGGGCATGGACGTGGACGACGAGGACGACGAGGAAGACGAGGACGAGGAATAGTTAGAGGCAGGCGCTGTTTGGGTGGGATTTTGTCTGGCCGCCTGGCGTTGTGACTTTACAATCAATGTAGTATCATGCATGGTCTTTTGGGGGGGGTATCTAGCAGACGTTGGGGGGGCACATTGCTCGAATAAGAAAGACAGCGACACCTTTTGTGGCCGAATGTTGTTACGCATGCGGACGCGGTGCAGAGGACGTGGGTCGGGGGAGTAGCAATCGGGAGGCGGCGTTGTTTACAGCATGCAAGGTCGTCGAGGTGTGAGTGGGCGAGGCGCGCGAGGCGGTCCGAGGCCAAAAAGGTGGCGCGCGCGATGCCTTTGATGGTGGGCGGTCCAATGGCGGATTCTAGAGCTCAGCCCGGGCCAGCAGCGCAGCTCAGCGCAAGCTCGACGCGGCGCAGCTGCTGGTAAGCAAGAGAAAGGAAAGCTCTCCGCACGCAGGACGGGCCAGCTTCCAATGGCTGCTTGCTTGGCTGGCGCCCCCGGTCCACGTCGGCGCATCGCATCGGGCCATGGCGTCACGTGACTGCCGGTGACGTTTGAAAGGAAAGGACTAACCTTAGACGCCCTGCCACCGCGCGCGCCTTCCTTGGCTGCTATTAGGTGGTAGGTACTCCGTACTCCTCCTCCTGCCTGCCACTGCCACTGCCACTGCCACTTCCGCTGCCGCTGCCACCTGCACTCCGTCTCCGCCAGCCAACCTCGCTCTCCCGCCCGTGTTTTTTCCCTTTCGTCACCCTCACCCACCCACACCCTCCACGTCTCGCTGCATCATCAAGACGCGGGCTTCGCCGGGCCTTTGCAACGCGCGCAATCCATCTTCACGACGCCAGCTGCCATCGCGCATCGCGCATCCGCGCCACCGTCCACTGCCTGCCACTGCACACGCGACCCGCAACGCGTCCCGGGCCCCCATTTCGCCCCGAGCTACTAGTTGCCGTCGCCGTCGAGAGGTCGCGACTCGCCGCTGATTCCTGGTGCGACGTGTGCCGGCCAGCCCTCTCCAACCACCCGACGCACTCCCGTCACAAGCTTGCCTCGCCTCAACTGCGCGACGCACACCGCGCCCGCCCCCCGACATCCAAGGCCATACATATACAACGTCTCTCGCTGCGCAATGGCGGACAAGCCCACAGAGACCCACGATGGCGCCGCGCCCGTCGCGGCCAGCGAGCCTGCTCCCGCCCCGGAGCCGACCAAGACTGGCGAGCCTGAATTGAGCGCCAAGGAGGACGAGCCAAAGCCTGAGCCCCAGGGCGAGGGCGACCAGGCTGATGAGGGTAAGCTCGCACCCGTGCTTGCCTAGCACGACCGCGTTTCTCCGCCCGTTCACGTCGAGCCGGAGGCGCCCGCCTCGCCTGTGCTCGCCTGCCTTTTGCTTGCTCGCCAGGCACCCCCTCGCCGCGTCGCGACCACAATCGCTCAATTGGCCCCGACCGACTAGCAGGACCGCGCTAACGTACCGTGTCAACCAGAAGCAAAGAAGCCCGACGACGCGCAGAAATCTGCCGATGACGCGCCCGAGAAGCCCCAGCCCGAGCAGGACAAGCCTGCCGCCGACGCGGACGTTGAGATGAAAGACGCCGCCGAGGACGCGGCGCCCGAGGCAGAGGCTGAGGCGCCTGCGACGGAGGCCGCTGCCGAGACACCCGCGCCCAAGCCCAAGGGTGGCAATCGCCGCAAGTCAACTGCCGGCGAGTCCAAGGGCAAGGCCCTCAACAAGAAGGGATCAAAGGCGCGCCTCACCCACACCGACGCCAAGCCCGGTGACCATTTCTTGGTGAAGCTCAAGGGCTTTCCCGCCTGGCCCGCCGTCATCTGCGACGAGACGATGCTGCCCGCCGCCCTGCTCAACTCGCGTCCCGTCTCGGCCGCGCGCCCCGACGGCACCTATTCCGAGGCTTACGCCGACGGCGGCAAGCGAGTCCACGACAGAAGCTTCCCCGTCATGTACCTGTACACAAACGAATTGTAAGTCGCGCGACCCATGGTCTACCGCGTAGCCCATGATTGCTGACGCGCCGCGCAAGTGGCTGGGTCCAAAACACTGCCCTTTCCGAGCTCACCCCGGAGAAGGCCAAGGACTCCATCACCGACAAGATGCGCAAGGACCTGCGGTCCGCCATGGAGTTGGCTGCCGAGGACCACCCTATTGACTACTACAAGAACATTCTCACCAAGTTCCAGGAGGAGCAGATTGCTCAGGAGGAGGCCAGAAAGGAGGCCGCCGCGACGCCCAAGAAGTCCAAGAAGGGCAAGGGGAAGGGCAAGGCCGCCTCTGAGGACGAGGACGCCGAGATGGAGGACGTCGATGCCGCCCCCAAGTCGGCCAAGTCCAAGAAGCGAAAGGCCGAGGATGACACCGCCGTATGTGCACGCGCCCCGAGTGGTGCTCCCCGCGCCATTGCTGACATGAAATTTCCTTCTAGACCCCGCAGCGAACCGACTCCGTGAAGAAGCCCAAGATCAAGCTCAACACCACGTCGACGCCCAAGGCTGCAAATGGGGCCGCCACACCCAAGTCGGCCGGAGCGTCGGCAAGCAAGGCAGCCAAGCCCAAGGCCAAGAAGGCCAAGGAAGGGGCCGATAAGAAAGAAGCGCCCAAGGAGGCAAAGATGACTCCGGAGGAGCGTCACGCGCGCAAGGAGGTAAGTCAACGAGGCGGCCCTCGACCGCACTGCATCTGACCAGATGGCTGATTCCCTCTGCAGAAGGAGGTGCTGTACCTGCGCCACAAGCTCCAGCGGGGTCTCTTGACCCGCGAGCAGCAGCCCCGAGAGGACGAGATGAAGGCCATGTCCGACTTTATCACGATGCTCGAGAACTTTGTGGACTTGGAGGTGTCCATCATCCGCGCCACCAAGATCAACAAGGTGCTGAAGGCTATTCTGAAGCTCGACTCCATCCCGAAGGAGGAAGACTTCCAGTTCAAGAAGCGATCGCAGACGCTCTTGGATAAGTGGAACAAGCTGCTCGCCGGCGATGGATCGGCACCTGCTCCTGCCCCAACCAACGGCGTCAACGGCGGTGCGCAAGAGAAGAAGTCGGAGGCCAACGGGGTCAAGGAGGAGTCTGCCGAGGCAAAGAAGGCTGAGCCCGAGCAGGAGAAGACCTCTGAGCCCAAGCAATCCGAGGAAAAGGCTGTCAGCGATGCCGGCGCGGATAAGCCTGCCGCGGAGACGACAGATGAGAAGGGAGATAAGGAGGAGAAGGCTGCTGCCGAGACGGTAAGCAGCCATGACTGACACTGATGCGGCCGGTCTAGGGCTAACAATGGCTTCAGGCCCCTGCTTCGGAACCCGTTGCGGCAGAGAACTAGACTTGCGTGCCCACTACTTTACTGGCAAGACGCCTTTGGCGTCCTCGGTCTGCTCGGGATGCGACTGAGTCTCGACTCGGGGTGGTTACTCAGAAAATTTTCTACTGCGACAGGTCTCCTTGCGGCGTACAGGCATGGCTCTTTTGCTTTTGTTCTTTCGGTATCTATTTCCTTTCCGACCTTCGGCCACGGTGGCCTCGAGAGGCCCTTGAGCCGATGTATGAATAAGTCACCGATGGCGTTAGAGGAGGCGGGAGTGCCTCAACGCGCGCGGAGCAACGTGACTGCGGTTGTGGGCTCCGCCAGTCTTTGCACTACGATACACGGTGCGGGTGGGGGTGGTTCAGCAAGGAGGGAGCGCGAGTGAAGTGTCAAGGGACGGGCTGTCATCGGGACGGTTTAGGACGGGGCGGGCTGCAAAAGGCGTGACTCTTTGTTTGTGCTGCAAGGGAGAACTGCTCTATCTATCGGAGGAGATTGATTTGCACATGCGCGGGGGCCAGCTGCCGGCGGTGTCAAGCCGCACGTGTGCATTGGCCGGGCGAACTTCCAACCTAGCTGATGAATTTGATGAAGGAATACAAGTTCAGTGTTGATACTGTGCACGAGTCGGGTTGGACGGGTTTGTTGATTTGGTCTGTCTGGAGCGAGGAGTTGTAGGGTAAACGAATATCTGTGGCTTTGGCCACGTACTGTGCCCAACACTGTATCGAAACTGTGCTCTAAACGCGTCTTAATCCAACGTCGCGTCTCCAGACGTTAACCCGAGGAATCGCCAGCATCTTTTTCACCGCACCGCCTCCTCGCACAGCACGCCATGGTTCCGGATGAGCAATCGCGCGACACGTTTGCGCAAGAAGATCACCAAGTGAGTATTTTACGCGCATCACGGCAACAAAGCCCAGCCATTGACGCAGTCTCAGGTCGCGTACATCTTCGATCCGGACGATGACGAGACGCATCGGGAGCGCCCGTCCAAGCGGCGCAGAGTGACCAAGCAGGCCAAGAGAACGTCCGCAGCGAACGAAGCGGAACCGCTGTTCGTGCCGCTGCTCAATGGCAAGGAGAGCGCTGCGAGCGTGCGCCTGCGACAGAGGCTGTACGAGGAGAGCTGGGCGAAAGTCGACGCCCGGCTGCAGGTCCGTCTATACGGTGTGTCAGGCACGACGGCCGAGGACCAAGCTGACGAAGGAAGCACAGGGGATGCTGCGAGAGTCTAACCTGGCAACATTGGAGCAGGTGACTGCGTTTGTGGCGGCGGCAGGGTCCGAATGGTTAGAGCATGCCCGCCCGCGCTATGGTGTTGAGCTTCCCGACTGATGGCGCTGCAGCGACGATCAAATACCGGCCGCCTTCATCATAACTGGCCCGAACATTGCTTCTCAAGACCTGCTGTTCGAGCAGCTTTCGGAAACGCTGCAGCAGGCATCGGTGAGCAGGTTCGTGCGGCTGCGATCATCGGAGGCCGCCTCGCTCAAGGCGGCGCTCAAGAAGACCATCCGGGATGCGACGGCTGGCGCAGGGGGCGACGAGGACGACAGCCTGCAAGTTGGGACAGGCCAGGATGTACGGCGGAGATGAACCCCGCGAGTCGAACGGCAAGGGCTAATCATTGCACAGGGACGCAAGTATCTCGATTACGACCTGGAGGCACTGGAGGCGTCAATCAGGTCGCAGGCGTGCGAGCACGTATACGTGTCTTTTCAGGACAGTGAGAGCTTCGACAGCGGCCTCATCTCTGATTTGGTCACCCTGTTTCAGTAAGCACGGCGGCCGCACCATTCAGGCTCTCTCGTGGGGGAGCATCTGCTGACTTGTCGCAGCTCGTGGCGCCCTCGGATTCCGTTCACGTTGCTCTTCGGCATCGCCACCTCTGTCGAGCTCCTCCAGGCCCGCCTCCTCAAGTCGGCATGCCGGCTCGTGTACGGCGCGCAGTTCGACTGCGTCCAGACGGAGGCGATTCTCGAGACCCTGTTCAGGGGCGCCGTGGCGGCATGCGATGTGCCGCTGCGGCTGGGGGCGCCACTGCTCCGGGGCATGCTCGATCGGCAGCACGACCAGATAGCCGGCGTCCAGGCATTCATCAGCTCGCTCAAGGTGAGCACCAGGCACCGACACACGTGGCGTCGTCTGCGCGCGCAGCTAACCACGAGTAGTACGCGTACATGTGTCACTTTTACCCCAATCCCCTGTCCATTTCCATATCACCCGACGCACCCCAGGCGGGTGCCGTCCAGCCCGAACACATCAACGCGCTGCGAACCCTGCCGTCGTTTCGCAGCCATGTGGAGCGGGCGGTAGAGCTTGGCGACGAGGGCTCGCTGAGGCATGCGAGGTCGCTGATCGAGGACGACGAGTACCTGCTTGCCAGGCTCCGAGACAGCAACGAGGATCGGCAGCGCTGGGTCGAGCGCCTCCTGCGTGCGCTGCTGGTCCTCGAGGCGGCAGGCGCGCAGCGCGGCGTATTCTCGCGGGCGTACGTGAACGCCATGGCAGACGGCGTCGACACATCAGAGCAGTCCGGGGTGGTAGACAGTATCCGACGGATGAGCGTCGAGGAGCTGTCCACCCTGCTGGTGCGCATCTCAAGTCTCCTCACCGAGGGTGATCCGCGCCTAAACCTCGCGCCCGCATCAGACGACGCCGACTCGCAGCTGCAGCTCGCCCTTAAAGACCACGCCGCCGAACTGGAAACGCTCAGGGAGACGGCCCAAAGTCAAGGGTTCACGCTGCGAAGCAAGTACAGCGGACAAAGCAAGGTGATGCGAACGACGGTCATCGCGCAGCGCGTGCAGCTGAGCCAGGACTCGGCGGCCCTCCGCGACGAGGACAAGCGCCTGACGGAGATTGTCGACGACGTGGCCCGGCTGGTGGCCACGCACTTTGGAGTAACCGGGCCCGGCGACGTGCTCTTCTCCGAGGGCTGGACGTACGAGTCGAGGTCGCCCGCGCGCGAGGTGTTTGTGCCCCGGCCGCGCGCCGCCTTTGAGCGCAGCCTCGGCCGGCCGCACGACTACCTGGGGTGCTCGTGCTGCGCGCCGGGCGGCGAGGGCGGCGGCGTCCAGGCCACGCTGCCGGCGACGGCGGTCCTCTACAAGCTGTACCTGGAGACGGGCAGCCTGATCAACGTGGCGGACCTGTGGGCGGCGTTTGACGCCCTCCTCGCGAGTCGCGGCGGCGCTGACGACAAGGAAGCGGTAGCCGGGAACGATGACGACGAGGTCGAGCCCGACGCCGAGGCCGCGGGCGAGCGCGAGCGGCTCGTCATGTTTTATCGAGGACTCGCGGAGCTGCGCGCCCTGGGGTACGTCAAGGCGAGCAAGAAGAAGCCGGACCATGTCGCCAAGGTCAAGTGGCTGTAATAGCGAGGCACTGCACGGGGAAATATACAATACAGTACTGTGTATTGTAATACGTAGGAAGATACTGTAAGATGCGCAGAGCGAAGTAGAGCAGAGCATCTTTCACAACCACGATCCATACAATATGACACGTACTGTACATACGTACAGACCGTGCATGCTCGTTTCACGTCTATCTGCGCAACGTCGAAAATGTACATACGTGAGATTCTCAGACGGACCGTACCTCGCACGAGTGTCCAAAAACAGCCGTCTCACGCGTGGCAGTCCTCCCCCCGGACCCTCCTCTCCCGTTGGTTCTGACGTCTGACGGCTGAGGGGGCACGGCGTGTCTCGGGGGGGCGGGCAAAGGCGCGCGCGCGTGGGTGCCGCCGGCCAGAGGCCGGAAGTCGGGCCGCCAACGGGACGACATGACGGAGGAGCGGCCCCTGGGACTCTGGAGCGGGAGCAGGGACTCGCCCCGAGCCATCACGCGGAGCAAGGAATAAACAACAATAACGACAAGGCGGCAAGCGGCCCTCGTTCCTCCCCGCGGCAGCCCACGCGGATTGATTCCCGTCACACACACAGGCGAGCCACCCCAGTGATATTGCTGTGTACTACTTCGTGGATGACGGACCAAAAACAGGCAGCGCGAGGCGGCAGGGCAGGGCCGGGCGGCACGGGCGGACGTCATGTACAAAGGATGATGTACATGTGTGCGACCCATCTGTCGGACGTGCCGTTCGGTCATGTGCCTGCTCACTCACTCAAAACTCACTCACTCACTGGCCCGGACGTGAGCAGGAGGCGAGATGACGGACGGACGCAGCGAGACATTAGGGATGAGACATCACGACACACACAGCCCACCAGCATCGTCACCACCACCACCACTGGCAGCATAATCAGCGCGTCGTTTCTTCGGCTTGGCCCCCGCTCCCCCCTCCACTCTCGTCGGTGAGGCGGGTTTCACCAGCTCGGAATGGGAGCGCGGGAGAGGGACGGACGGACGGACGGGGCGGGCGTGAAGACGGGCGGGCCGTGGCTGGCGCCGGCCGCGAAGGGGCTGAGAGGGCATGAGGTGCACGGTTTGATGAGAAGGATCGCGGGGCGTCATGGTGATGATGATGGTTGACGAGGTGCGTGCGTGATGTTTGGACCACGTCCCCGGCAAAGCCAGCAAGGCATGGACGGGGGTAGGAAGCCGCGGGCGTCATATTGATTTTTCTCGTTATCAGAGCGAATACGTATGCGCATGCACAAGGACGTTGGCTCCGACAAGAGGCAGCATCGGCTCACCGACCTTGGCCGGGGGTGGGCTGCCAGACTCCTGCCGGGCCCAATAACCGTCCGCATGCATACGGCGGCGATGGGCAATGAGAGACAGGCGCGCGGAAGAGAGTTCTGTTATAGGAAACCCGGTGTTCACCGCAGCGTGGCGGACAGAGGACTGACTCACTCGCAATCTGCACCCCGAGGCTAAAAGTAAACGCCCGGGAACTAAATACCTAATACTCCGTCGCCGGGCATGCCATGATGCTATAATTGGGGGATTGGAGGAGGCAATGTTCCAGTTCGCTGCACGGAGGCGTTGCCGCCGCCGCCGTCTCCAGCGGCATTGCGTCTTCCGAGATGCTTCTTCTGCGGCGGGCAATTTGACGGGGCCGAGTCAACCAGCGAGACAAGCGTGCCAATCTATTTTTTGCACATTAGTTGTTCGCGGGCTTGACCTCCTGATGGGGACGAAATGTCTTGGAATGTTGGCCATGCATTTTCCTTCTTCCTTGCGCCGGATCCATCCAGGTGCGGAGTCGCTGTTCATCAAGATGAGCGGGTCCCCACCGCCCGTGGACAGAGGCTGGGGTTGGTGCCAGCCATCCAGCGTCCCGGGTGGTTGGCTGTTGACGGACTGGCAGGTCGTCGTCTCTTGCACGCGCGCGCGCCGTCTTTAGGCTGTCAGCCAGGCTCTTTGGCTGTTGGACACCCCCGTCGCCTTCCAGCCACCGCCCAGCCCAGCCAACCCGCCCAGCTAGCAGGTGCTAACGTTAATATCAATGGCCGGTTGCTGCTGGCCGCCTTGCCCAGTCCAGGTACAGGCACCATGCTTCATCCGAGTGCTTTGATCAGCAGAGAGGCTGGTGTCCTCCGGGGCTGGTCGCGAAAATCGTCACCTCGGGCCAGTCGCGAACGACGGAGCAAGGGCCCTGCCGATGCTAGTCAGTAGACGAAGGAACAAATGAAGGAACAAATGGAGCACCGGCAGAAGGGCGGGCGTCGTGGTGGTGCTTTGGTGCTAGCAAGGTGGCCGTGGCCCATTGTCCGGAATGTCTCACCAGCCGTCTGCGTCCGTCGCAACCACAACAATCGTGCGAAACCGGCGGAGAGACATTTTTGTTCTTTTGTTTGGTTCGCCCCGCGGCTCTCCAACTTCGGTGCTTTCGCTGAAAAAAGTCCCATGCCATGGCTCCATGACTCCATGGCTCTAGGGCTCCGGGGTTCCACGTTGGGTTCGTGGGTTCGCGGGCGCCGCGTGCGTCGTCTTGTCTCTGGCTAAGAGACAAGCGAGGGACAAACGCCCGAAGCCCATGCACGTTGCAACCGTCGTGGTCGTCGCCGTCCACTGGCTGCGTCCCATCCGTGCGCCCATCCCTATTCATCAGACATGCTCGTCCATGTGAGCGAATGCGGTACGGCCCTGAAGTTTGGGCTTGACTCTGCGGTGCCAAGTTAGCTCCATCCCTCGTCCCTCCTGTTTCTCTGTGGCCATGTCCGTCGCCAGCCCCGGTTCCGTGCCAGCCACGCGCCTCGCAGACCCGGCCACGGCACTGGCCGCGCTCGTTTGGGCCTCCAGCGGTTCGTCGGACTCGGGACGGGGGAGGGAGGGGTGGCTGGCTCCATCGTCATTGTGGGATGCAATGCAGCATGGAGAAGGGGGAGAAGAAGAGGGGCCGAGGGTCTTGCTTGGTTGGGCTGCTCGTCCTTGTATGTATGCCAGTCTGTTAGTCGAGGCAACTGGCCGTTCCATCCATCGGTTTGCGAGCTGGCTTGCACGCGCGCATGCACACACGCGCGCATGCACACACGCATGCATGCATCCACCCCACGCATGCATGCACTTGCGCGCATGATGTGCGTCCAGAGAGGCATGCGTGTCTGTACATGCTCCGAAAGTGTGCAATCAATGTATTGTGCGGAGCACCTTGCTGCCCTCGACCTGCCGCCAAGGCGCAGACGGCGCCGCACCGGGCTGGGACTCTGTGCCGGCACCACCGTCGCTCGCCCTGGCGTGGCAGTCCTGTCCTGTGCCGTAGGGAACCCATCCATGGATGGCATGGCCGCCGGGGCCGGGCCATGGCTGGGTGCAGCCACGACGGCGCTGGCGTCCCCCCCTAGACGCCTGCAGCATCTGCTGTATTAAAGCTGAACGGCGGAGCCTGCTCGATCCGCAAGCCGTCCCATGCTGCCCCGGCCATCCGCCCATCCACCAATCCGTCCGTCTGAGTTTGACTTGGTGTGCTTTGAGTTGGCCTGCCTGCGAAGGCACCGCTCGCGTGGTCTGGTCTGGGCTGGCTTGGTTTGTTGGTCTGACCGGGTCCGGCCAAGGATGACGATTTCGGGTATCGGCTCCATCTGGCGGAAAGATACAAAGAGGGCTGGGGCACCATCATCAAAGACAGTCTCTTGACTCGGGTCGCCTCCGTCCATCTGCCATTCCATTCCATCTTCGTCGTCGCCGTCGTCGCCGTGGTCGTCGTTGTCGTCGAACAAAGTCGCCAAAGGTCAGACTCGGGGAGAGACACAGTGTTCGAAAAGAAAAGATCCCTTCCACAACCAGACGATATTGCGAGATTCCATTAGTCCTTCCATACGGACTTTTACTCCTTCCCTGGCCTGCATCGTGCCTGCCTCGCTCACCTCCGCCTCCGCCTCCGCCTCCGCCTCCACCACCACCTTCCTCGTTCGCCTCGTCTTGTCTCGCCGTCGCTCCTGCCTGGCCTGACCTCAACTTGACTCGACTCGACTCGTCTTTGTCTCTCCGTCTTTGTCTCCGCCTCCTCCTCCCGTCTCTCACCACCACATCCTTCGCCTTCCTCCGATTGTCATCGTCCCTCGTCGTCCCTCATCTTCGTCTCCTACCCTCATCCCGCTTGCCTCGCCTGTCCCCCTTGCGCCATTCCCTCACGCCTCGCAGCACCCCAATCTCCCCGTCTTCCCATGCACTGCTTCCCCTCGGAGACAAGACAGAAAGAGTAGATCTTCCAAAAGGCACAGCCAGATTCCCGGCCGCCATCTGCAGCCTTTCACGCACTGCTACATACAACCGTGGTCAAACAAAGACCTCCTCTCTCAACAGCCGTGGACTTGTACATCGCTTTGTCCCAGGTATTAGGCACATACTCTGTCACCGACGGCTCCTCCTTTACATATCACGGAGCGACCGCTGCTCTATAGAGCCGAGCCACAGAACAATAGTCGTCGCCTCACGGCAACCATCGTCATCATGATGCATCGCCAACAGCAGCAACAACAGCAGCAGCAGCCGCAGCTACCCTCCTCAGCCCACACTCAACAGCAGCCGCAGCACCCCCAACTGCCGCCGCCGTACAACACGGCCACTATCATCAGTCGGCTCCACTTCCTCGCTCGCCACAACCCCCAGCTCGCTCAAAAACTTCATCAAATGGCCTTGCCGCTCTCGCCTCTTGTCCAGCTCACCACCGGCGCCGTACACCCGCACTTTCCTCGCACCGTTCTTCAGTTCTGGCTTCTCACCGACGACCAGCTCGAGTCCCTCGCCGCCTTCTACCACCAGCGAGATCAGTCGCCCTGGTCTGCGCAGTACCCGTGTCCAGTCGTCTGGCGCTCCGACCTGCCCCTCGAGGAGAAGCGCCGGCGCATGGGTCGCTTCATCGGCCTCCGAGGCTGCGGCGAGGATGAGCTCGGTGCTGGCGCTGGCGTCGACGGGTCCTCGGCAGAGGTGGCAGCCATGGTGGGCAGCATGCGCACCGAAGACGAGATTGCCGAGGAGGCGCGGTTAGCTGCAGCCGACGACGAGGTCTGGCGGCGGAAAATGAATCCCTGGTAGGGCTGGAATTGAGTCGCGCGAGCTCCGGGAGCTCCCAGGATCCCACGATCGGGGCAAGAGACGGAGCGGAGAAGGACAGCGTCGCATCTCGCTCCGCCTCTACCTCTTGACGTCCACGTTACGACTTTGGTTTGGATTCTCGTTCATACAGGCGGACCTGGGCTAGCCCCTGCGGTGCGCTGCCCTTGTTCCTCATGATTAGCATGTAGATATACGGCGTTCACCGGCACAGCATTGGGAGGTGGCAGCATTTTGGCCTGGCCCGATTTGGGCAACAGTCGGAGTCGGCTTTGCATAGAACAGACAGCAATGTCCAATCATATTTACTTCGACCAAATGTAAAATGTATGCACCTCCACGCCTCCAACGCCGCCCACGAACCCGGACACTCTCGGCTTCGGCTGTGCCCCACGGCCTCCCGAGTTCCGCATAGGCAGACATGACCACCGTTAGATCAATGACGACGCGCTTGGCGCGACCTCATTTGGCCGCGCACTCTATGGATGCTCGGACATGATGCCGCTCTAATCCGTCTCTTGCATGGCCCGCAAGCCCAAGCTCATTTCCTGCCCTTCTTGCCACCCTTGGCAGGCGTGTCAACCAGCACCGCGTCGTCCTCGCTGCCCTTGGTCGAGCCCTTCTCCGATTCGTCGAGCTCCTTCATGAACTCGCTCTGGATCTGACCCCGTCGCTTCTCCCACCACTGCTTCTCGGCCTCTGTCTGGGACTGGATCTCGTCGAGCCGCTGGCGGAGCTTCGTGTTGGCGGCGATTTCGTGGGCGGACTGGAAGATGGTAGGACCCCAGTTGGGGGCCAGGGCATTAGCCTAGGACAGGTCAGTATACATGCCGGACAGGTCTCATGCTGTGACGGCGACGCGGGCGCGTACCTCTTGCACCACGTCTCGCAGCTCCTCCTCCATCTCCTTTTCGGCGCGCTGGAAGCGCTGCCACAGGTCGTCACCCACGCTGCCCCTCAGCAGCAGTGAACTGCAGGCCTGCTTGGCCGTCTTGATCTGGATGAGGCGCTCGATGTCCTCGACGGCGCGACGCAGCAGCGCCGCGCGGAGCAGGCTCTCGGGAACGCGCGGGGTCTTCTCGCCGCTGCCCGGCTCAGGGTTCATGTGCAGGAGTGAAAGGTACACGTTGCGCTGGAGGTTGGGGCCGAACCACGGGGCGAGGTTGGCGCTCTCGGCTGCGGCACGAACAGATGTTAGCAATGCCCGAGGCGGGTACGGTAGGCGGCACGCGAGTCGGTGCACGCCGTCGCGAGAAATATCGTCACGTACCTGCCCTGCGCTTGCGGTAGATTGTGGAAAAGGTCATGAGGGCGCCGCCGAGGACGAGCAGGTAGGCAAAGGGAAGGGCGAGGCCCTTCCAGTCGATCTCGAACATGGCGGGCTGCGGTGCCGTTGCTGGCCGGGGAATAGGGGAGGGGATTGACTGGGCCGGAAAGGAGTTGACAGATCGTGTGCGTGCGGTGAACGAGTGTCGAGTGTGGCACGTCCGCGCGGTTGGCCAACGTGTGAAGTCGTGTGCTGGTGTTGCTGGTCGTGGTGGGTGATGATGGCTCGGCGCAAGTGTCCGTCCCCCATGTGCCAGCCTGGCCTGGTAACTTTTCTGGGTCGCCCACGGATCTGGCCAGGTTGCTGTAATTAGCGGAGCGCCTTCCTTGTCCTGTCCGGCAGTGGCAGGCGCGTGCCACAGCGGTGCCACAGCGCATCGTCCGGGCCGGAGTTTTTCCAGCACAGGTTGCTTACAAAGTGCGTTCGGTACGGAACACGGGACCCTCAGCTCCCGCCGCCACCGGCGCTGCCAGGCACCGCTCCGGCTGATGACGCTCCACTGGGAGCTCCCCAAAGCACTGCAGTCACTCGCAGAGCTGCATCATCCATCCACATCCGTCCGCAGCTCCGCAACCACCGACGTCGACGAACTTCCACAGCTCGCCTGCAAACCCAAACCCGCCACCAACAAAGCGGACCGCGATTCACCTCACTTTTGCAGGGAGACGACACTCCAGTCCTGCCCAGAGCACCCTACAAAACGCATCTTCCAGCCTGGGCGGAACTTCAGCTTCCTCTCCCGTACCCCGCCAAGGCACCGTCAAACACCTGCCAACGCCCAACTTGCCCCGTCGCTTTGTCGCCCATCATGTTGCTCCGTCTGCGCGGGCCCGACGGCATGGCCCGCGTGACGTGCGAGACCAGCACGACATTTGGCGAGCTGGGAAAGCTGGTGAGCGAGCCGTCGGTACCACGTGCTGTTGTCAAGTGCTAACGAAGCAACACCACAGATGCTCCCCCAGCTGCCGGCCACCGTCGATCCCAAGACCATCACCATGTCCAACTCCCCGACTGGTGGAGACGCGAAGAGGCTAGCCGACATTGCCAACTTCAAGGTCGGCCAGATCGGACTCAAGTATGTTGGCTTCTGCCGCCGACCCTGTATCACCGGCGCTCCCGGGGCGGCACACCCCACTCCTATACCACCGTGCTGCTAACAAGGTCGCAAGGCACGGAGACCTCATATTCATCAGCTACAAGCATCTCGGCGCGGCCACGAACGGTGACGCTCCGGCGCAGGTGACGTCAGCAAGACTCAGCGGCAAGCCAGTCCTACCGACCGAAGACGTGCCGATCGACCCCAAGCCCGAGCGGATTTCGAAGCCTTGGGAAGTCATAAGGCAGTCTGCTCTAGATGACCGGTTAGACAAGCTCGACGGAAAGATTCCACGGGGTCGCGACCGCATGTGCCGCCATGGACCCAAGGGCATGTGCGACTACTGCCAACCCATGGATCCCTTCGACCCGGCCTACCTTGCCGAGAAGAAGATCAAATATCCTTCGTTTCATTCGCATCTCCGAAAGATCAACGCCTCTACGAACAAGCCTGAACTGGGAAGCTCATACATACCTCCCTTGGTAGAGCCGTTCTACAGGGTCCGGCGAGACTGTCCGACGGGCCATCCGCCGTGGCCAGAGGGTGTTTGCACCAAGTGTCAACCAAGCGCCATCACGCTGAACCCGCAGCCGTTTAGAATGGTCGATCACGTCGAGTTTGCGTCACCGTCCATCATCGACAGCTTCATCGATTCGTGGCGCAAGACGGGATCTCAGCGCATAGGATTTTTATACGGGCGATACACCGAGTACACCGAGGTGCCCCTTGGCGTGAAAGCCATCGTCGAGGCCATATACGAGCCACCTCAAGTCGACGAGCTCGACGGCATCACTTTGAACGCATGGGAGAACCAAAAGGAGATTGCCGAGGTGGCCAAACTCTGTGGCCTTGAGCCAGTCGGAGTCATCTGGACGGATCTCTTGGATGCCGGCCGCGGAGACGGCTCAGTCGTTTGCAAACGTCACGCCGACTCGTACTACCTCTCCTCCTTGGAAATCTGCTTCTCTTCGAGACTACAGGCTCAACATCCCAAGTCTTCCAAGTGGAGCGACACCGGCCGCTTCGGGTCTAACTTTGTGACGTGCATCATCACGGGCAATGAGCAGGGCGAGATCGGGGTATCGTCGTATCAAGTATCCAACGATGCCGTAGAGATGGTACGGGCGGATATTGTCGAGCCCTCGGCCGACCCGACAGTCATGCTCGTTCGCGACGAGGAAGAGGACGACGGGTCCGTCAGCCGTACGCGATATATCCCCGAGGTCTTTTACCGCCGGAAGAACGAATATGGCGCGAATGTACAAGAAAACGCCAAGCCTTCGTTCCCGGTCGAATACCTCTTCGTCACCTTGACTCACGGCTTCCCCGCCAACCCCAAACCGACCTTTTTGCAGACAGGCTTCCCCATCGAGAACCGCGAATACATTGGAGAAAGCCAGGAACACTCTGCGCTGGCAAAGGCGCTCAAGATGAGTCCTGGCATGAAGCCCAGCGATGGCTTCCAGGAGGTCTCGAATTTCCACCTGCTCTGCTTCCTGCATCAAATGGGAGTACTGTCCAAGGTCCGTGGCCATCCCTGCGACCCCGCTGCCATGTAAATGCAAGTCTACTCACCCGATTCTCACAGGATGAATTCGCGCTCTTGTGCCGGGTCGCCAGCCAGCACGACCTCGCCGACTCGTTCCAACTACGTTCCACGGAGGGCTGGCAAACCCTCCAGGCCATCCTCCAATCGACCGGTGAGCGCATCCCCAAGCGTCCGAGGGAACGCGCCGACGGTTCCGCGCCGTCGAACGACGTTCCTGCCCGCGGATCGGGTGAGCCCCTTACTAAACGATTTGCTGCCTTCAGGCTGAATGAGCGTCGCACACCAAGCGAGGGGCCGCCAGATGGAGACGGGCGTTGACCGTGCTCGGGGAATGGGCGCTGGCGGCGTGCTGCAGAGGGGGTTGCGTGACTGTTGCGTGTCGGGCGTTGGGCGGCGCTGGCGGCTTGACCGAAAAGGGCTTGAGGATATGCCCGAAGACGGATGCATTTAGACCGGAGCTGCGTGTTTGACCGGCATGACAACGCCTGATGGTGAATCTTGTTGTAATAGAACACTGATTCGCCAAGGGACCTGCTTTTGCAAGGCATGTCATTTCGGATTGCAAGGTGCCTGCAGGTTCTGGCCGACCATTGCCATACTTGTACATCTGGCCAGCTCGGTCCGCCGAAAGACGCCCGGCCCAAGGGACCGCTCCCAAGTCACTGCTCCCAAGAAATCTTGAAAGCTGGATCTATATGTCTGCGTAGGCACGGCGTGGGAGTGACCACTTCATGCATTACTGAGAGTTTCGCCATTCGTAAAGACGACTCTTGGTAGGTAGTTATCAAGCCCGACTTACCGCACCAGCAATACTAGCAACGAGAGGAAGGACAGCAACGAGAGGAAGGACAGTAAATAAGCACCACGATGCGGCCGTCTCGTCTCTCCCGTCTCTCTCGTGTCTTCGCTATAATGCTTAGAGCGTTCTCCACAAGGCCGACGCTTAAGATAGTCCCTATATATAACGCTTGTTCCTCTCGCGCCTTTAGTCCCCAGCAAGACTAGCACCACCGTTCATAGAGCACGGCGCTAGTATCTAATACTCTTCCTTAGTAGTCCACAAGGTTGCCACAAAGACCAGAATCACGAGTAGCGTCATCTACAGGGCCGAGCTCCCTTCCAGTATACATGGTGCGCCAGCTCATACCGTACCACGCGGTACTCGCAACCCACCTACCTACAGCCGCTCAGGTCCTTCTTCAAAGGGATATAACGCTCTCCCAGTCACGCCCCGCTAGAGAAGACGAGCATAAACCCTTAGCTTCGAGGTCACAATGTGCACTCTAGTCTCTAGTTCGATATCGTCTTACCCGGCTCCGGTTAACTCCTCGTATACTCTTCTTACGCCACTTATTCCTCTCGTTCCTTTCGTTCCTCTCGTGCCTCTCGCTCCTCCCGGTCCTTTCGTGCCTCTCGTGCCTCTCGTTCCTTTCGTACCTCTCGTTCCTCTCGTGCCTTTCCTTCCTCTCCTTCCTGGCTCTGAAGCGGATCAGCTATAGCAGCGACCAACTATCCAAGACAGAACTGAACTCCCGAGAGCCAACATTCGCAGCCAAGATAGGAGAGCCGCGAACTTTCAGTACAGTTTCTCGCACTGGCAAAAGTCGGCTGGCTGGCTGACTGGGCCAGCGATGGTGACTCGCGAGAGTTGCCAGGGGCATTGAGATCGCTGTGGGGCCATGGACAGGGTGCCAATATTGCCTGCGGCACTTCGTACCCGCAGCGGCACCACCTCCCGCTCCGCAGATATCCACACCCATGACTATATCGCCGGCCTCGGCGTCCTCGCGGCGGGACCGACCTTTCAGTCATCGCTACTGGCGCGTCGACGATGACGGAAGAGTACCCTCTGGGTGGCCTCACCAGTTGCTATCCCGTGAGGTGGGATACATCATGGCGGTTGAGACCGGCTCAAGGCCAGTTACACCACGCATGCCCTCGCATGCGCTTCCAAGATCTACGCCGTCGCGTTGGAAAAAAGGGAGTCGGTCGTGTGCTCCATTGCCAAGACGTGGTGCTACTGACAGCGTCGCCGGGCACCTGACTGGCAAGGCCGCTCGCTTGGCGAGCTGGTCGGCAATTACTTGCACGTCATTACACGAGCTGCAGTGTCTTCTCGATCGTGTTGCGCCGGCGGGCTCCAGTGCAACCATCTTGGGCGGCCGTGTTGACCCAATTGGCCCGTCGGGGTGCCTGCGAGGCTCGAGAGGTGGTACGCAATACATGAGCATTACCATATTGTATCTCGAGCATCACCAAGGATGCTGAACCCTCGGCGGTTTGGCAGCTACCCGATTGAGCAAGGGCAGTAGGTTTGTCCCTTGTTGCGAGGCACGGGGCATCAAGGGCACCGCCAATTGTGTGGTTGCGGATTCACAGTGTGCCCTCATCATGGAGCGCCCATCGTTCTACGTACTCGCAGCGTTGGATCGCAACGTGCCATTAATGGAACCCGTCACTGGTAGGAACCTTGGGTGCATGTGAACCTGCAAAGAGCAACGCTGGAAATGGTAGGGCAACGGCAAGATCGAGCACGGCACAGCATGCTTCCTGGAGGGCAAGGAATAACTACCCGGGACAGGGACGGAACGGCCCCAGGTTTTCCAGGTTCCGAAGCTGGTTACCTACTGCATTGTTTGGTACAGCATTCGCACCGCAGTAACCACGGCGGCCACCTCAGCCTCTCCCGCACCGTTGCCGTCTCTGGCCCGACGGTCGATTATTTACCTGCCTATCTGCATTGCCGCCGCTCAGCCCGACTGACAATACATACTGTACTGCAAGTATACTAATTTCGCGGCTGGCTCGAGCGTCATTTTTTTTTTTTTTTTGCTCTTCCTCCCTCCCGCGCTGTGAAACTAAGAGGCTGCCCCCCCTCCTCCCCAACAATCAAGATCCGCCCAGGTCCCTCCCCCCTGCCTCTCCGGCCCTCTTTAGGCCGGTGGGACGCCCCCCAAGGGGCCCCCAAGCCCCCCTTATCTTATCGGTGACTCGTTTCCCTTCCCCGGACCCGGAGCTGCGTCCAGCGCTAGCGTGACCGTCCAGCCAGTCCTGTCAGTGGGGATCGCTTTTTTTCTCCAGGCCCTCCTAACTTTTTTCTACCGCCCGGCCGCCGCACCAAACCCGCGCTGCGACTCTCAACCCTTCTCCCCATCCCACCGCCCTCCGCATCGCAGCCACCCTCCCGCCCTGGCAGAGCCCCAGCACTCTCTCTATCGCCCTGCCGTCCGGATACCCCCAATTGACGCACACGAGGGCCAGGCTGTTTGCGGGACGGTGCAGTCGAAGCATTGAGCCCCCAGGGAGTCTGTCGCGATGCCGCCGAACATGGCTGCGCTCGCCGGTCGAGCTCCGGTCTTGCTCCGACATGGTCGCCGCGTGCCCCGATCTCTTCCCGCCCGCGCCTTCACCACCGCGTCCCTGAGGGCGCCGGGTCGCTTTTCTGAGTCTTCAGTCCTGCCCAAGCAGACGAAGCGCCTCGGCACAATTTCCATTGTGCGCCCCTACAGCTCCACCGCCGAGGCCGCCCCCAACCCCAAGGCCTACCTCGAGAGCGGCGTCATCAAGCCTAAGCAAAAGGTCGACGTCAAGAAGGTCCTTGTCATTGGCAGCGGTGGCTTGGCCATTGGTCAGGCTGGCGAGTTTGACTACTCAGGTGCGTTCTTAGACCCCTCGCGTCGTCACGGTGGGCGACGCATCGCGACACCTCCCATTTCATGACTCAATCCGGCACTTGAGCTCTTCGACTGACCACAGCCTCCACGCGCAGGATCGCAAGCCCTCAAGGCCCTCAAAGAGGCTGGCGTGGCCTCTGTTCTCATCAACCCCAACATTGCCACCATCCAGACCAACCATACCCTCGCCGATGAGGTCTACTACCTGCCGGTAACTCCCGAGTACGTCACCTATGTCATCGAGAAGGAGAAGCCCGATGGCATCTTCCTGTCCTTCGGTGGCCAGACCGCCCTGAACCTGGGTGTCGAGATGCAGCGCCAGGGTCTGTTCGAGAAGTACGGCGTCAAGGTCCTCGGCACCAGCGTCCGAACCCTCGAGCTCAGTGAGGATCGTGACCTGTTCGCCAAGGCCCTCGAGGAGATCAACATCCCCATTGCCAAGTCGATTGCTGTCGGCACGATCGAGGAGGCCCTCGACGCCGCCGAGAAGGTCGGCTACCCCATCATTGTTCGTGCTGCCTACGCCCTGGGAGGTCTCGGCTCCGGCTTCGCCAACAACGAGGAGGAGCTCCGCAACATGGCTGCCCGCTCCCTGACCCTTTCGCCTCAAATTCTTGTCGAAAAGTCACTCAAGGGCTGGAAGGAGGTCGAGTACGAGGTCGTGCGCGATGCGAACAACAACTGCATTACCGTCTGCAACATGGAGAACTTCGATCCCCTCGGCATCCACACTGGCGACTCCATCGTCGTCGCGCCTAGCCAGACGCTCAGCGACGAGGAGTACCATATGCTTCGCTCTGCTGCCATCAAGATCGTCCGTCATCTGGGCGTCGTCGGCGAGTGCAACGTTCAGTACGCCTTGCAGCCTGACGGTCTCGACTACCGCGTCATCGAGGTCAACGCCCGTCTCTCGCGATCCTCTGCTCTGGCCTCCAAGGCCACTGGCTACCCGCTGGCTTACACGGCTGCCAAGATTGGCCTGGGCCACAGCCTTCCCGAGCTCCCCAACGCTGTCACCAAGACCACTACCGCCAACTTCGAGCCTTCCCTGGATTACATCGTCACCAAGATTCCCCGATGGGACCTGTCCAAGTTCCAGCACGTCAAGCGCGACATCGGCAGCGCCATGAAGTCTGTCGGCGAGGTCATGGCCATCGGTCGTACCTTTGAGGAGTCTTTCCAGAAGGCCATCCGCCAGGTGGACCCCCGCTTCGTCGGCTTCCAGGGCGACAAGTTTGAGGATCTCGACTTTGAGCTGCAAAACCCCACCGACCGTCGCTGGCTCGCAGTCGGCCAGGCCATGCTCCACGAGAACTACTCTGTGGACAAAGTGCACGACCTGACTAAGATTGACAAGTGGTTCCTGTACAAGCTCCAGAACATCGTCGACTGCACCCGCGACCTTGAGGCCACCGGCAGCCTCCAGGGCCTCAAGAAGGACCAGATCCTCCAGGCCAAGAAGATGGGCTTTTCCGACCGACAGATTGCCATGGCCGTCAAGAGCACTGAGGACGAGGTCCGTGCGCTCCGTCTCAGCTTCAACATCCGTCCTTGGGTTAAGAAAATCGACACCCTGGCCGCCGAGTTCCCGGCGGACACCAACTATTTGTACACGACGTACAACGGCTCGTCGCACGACGTTACCTTCGAGGACAAGGGCACCGTCATCTTAGGCAGTGGTGTCTACCGCATCGGTAGCTCCGTCGAATTTGACTGGTGCGCCGTCAGCGCCACCCAGGCCCTCCGACAGATGGGTGAGAAGACAGTCATGATCAACGTGAGTCCAGAGCCTCGTCCTGTCTTGAGACATTACTAAATAAGACAAAAAGTACAATCCGGAGACTTATAGCACCGATTTCGATACGGCCGATAAATTGTATTTTGAAGAGCTCAGTTATGAGCGCGTCATGGACATCTACGAGCTTGAGAGCGCGTCGGGCGTTGTCGTGTCTGTGGGCGGACAGTTGCCCCAGAACATTGCCCTGCGCCTGCAGGAGACGGGCAAGGCCAGGGTCCTCGGCACAGACCCCAAGGACATCGACAAGGCCGAGGATCGCCAAAAATTCTCTGAGATCCTCGACAGCATCGGTATTGACCAGCCCGCCTGGAAGGAACTCACGTCGGTCAAGGCCGCCGAGGACTTCGCCGACGAGGTTGGCTACCCTGTGCTTGTCCGTCCTAGCTACGTCCTTTCCGGTGCTGCTATGACCGTCATCCGAAGCCAGGAGGACCTCAAGGACAAGCTCGAGGCCGCCAGCAGCGTCTCCCCCGACCACCCCGTCGTCATCAGCAAGTTCATCGAGGGCGCCCAGGAAATCGACGTCGACGGTGTCGCGTCTAAGGGTGAGCTGGTCATCCACGCCATCAGTGAGCACGTCGAGCAGGCTGGTGTCCACTCTGGTGACGCTACTCTGGTCCTTCCTCCCGTCAACCTCGACGACACCACCATGGGACGCCTCAAGGACATTGCCGAGCGCGTTGCCAAGGCCTGGAACATCACTGGTCCTTTCAACATGCAGATCATCAAGGCTGAGAACCCCGAGGGCGGCGAGCCTCTCCTCAAGGTCATTGAGTGCAACCTCCGTGCCTCGCGATCTTTCCCCTTCGTCAGCAAGGTCCTTGGCCAGAACTTCATCGATGTCGCCACCAAGGCCCTGGTTGGCAAGGATGTTCCCAAGCCTACCGATCTCATGGCTGTCAAGCGCGACTACCTTGCCGCCAAGGTTCCTCAGTTCTCCTGGACTCGTCTCGCCGGCGCTGATCCGTTCCTGGGCGTCGAAATGTCATCGACGGGTGAGATTGCTTGCTTCGGCAAGGACCTCGTCGAGGCTTACTGGACCTCTCTGCAGTCGACTATGAACTTCCGCATGCCCGAGCCCGGTGAGGGTCTGCTCTTCGGCGGTGACGTCTCCAAGACGTGGCTGACCCAGGTGGCCGACTACGTCGCTCCCCTTGGCTACAAGCTGTACGCCGCTGGCAACGATGTCAAGGAGTTCATCGAGTCTACCTGCAAGCACAATGTCACCGTCGAGGTCATTGAGTTCCCCAAGGAGGACAAGCGAGCCCTCCGTGAGGTTTTCCAGAAGTACGACATCCGCGGCGTCTTCAACTTGGCTCTGGCCCGTGGCAAGACGACTCTGGACGTCGACTACGTCATGCGCCGAAACGCCGTCGACTTCGGCGTTCCCCTGTTCATGGAGCCGCAGACTGCTATCCTCTTCGCCCAGTGCATGAGCGAGAAGCTGCCCCGTAAGGAGGGCATCCCGTCAGAGGTCCGACGATGGTCCGACTTCATTGGCGGCAAGCCGCTGTAAGAGACGGGCGGGCTGGCGTTGGTTTTGTAAGGCACATGTAGATAGATTGGAGTACGGAAATGGGAAAAGTTTCTATCACCACTCATATATGCTTTGCACTACGTGACTTATCGTGAAAGGAACGAAAGGAACGAAAGGAACGAAAGGAACGAAAGGAACGAAAGGAACGAAAGGAACGAAAGGAACGAAAGAATAAGAGGCTGACGGGACTCAATAAATAGCGAAGTATTTATATAGGAGCAATAGCTGATAGTGAGAAACTTTTAAATGAAAGACGGCATGCCGTATGAAGTAGTGTTTTTCGAAGAATTGAATTGAGCACTATCATGACTACGGTGCTACTTTTTGAATTTAGAGTATGCCCGCCAAGTTTGCAGACGACTGTGGCGTCACACGGAGTGAGCAATAGTTTGCCACTCATCATTCTCGAAGACCACACGCAGCAGCATCCAGTTGCGTAGCCGTTGCTTGTATCCTCCCCAAGAACTGCGCCCGGTCGTTAGTCAAGGCGTTCATGGCGGCAAGACCAATGTTGAGACCAGTGTCGGTGTGGTCGATTGCCAGGATCCGAATGGACGTTGTGTTGTAAGTCAGTTCCCAGCAGCTGCCGCAACTTTCCGAGCCATAGCCCGCAATGACTTGGGCGCCTCCAATCATTGGGAACTTAGGAAGGTCGCCCAGTGTGCTGAAGCCGAATCTCTTGAGTCCATGCGGCCCGTCAGAGCAGGCGACTTTGTTCAGGGAGGTCGTTGAAACGTCATAAATCGGATCGTAGCTGACTAGTATCAGGCGATCAGAGGGATTTCAACCACGTTTATTTGAGCAAGACTGACCGCTCACGGTGCTGGCAGCCGAAGCTGCCATGGCCAGCGCGGCGGCAGTGAAGCATGCATAGAAACCCATATTTTGCGATGAGATGGTTGAGGAGTAGAGAATGCTCTGGTCCAAAGCGTGCTTGGGCCAAACTAGTTCGTGCAGGAAGGAAAGGGAGCCATGAATATTTACACATTTCCTGCTGCAGATCGCGGTGGATGATGTTCCCCGCCGTATTGTTTCAAAGCTTAGCTGCCCTTCGTTCACGCCCGCCATGGTGACGCCGGGCTAGACGTCGATGAGCTGCGGCCACTAACACCACCTCCCTTCTAGCTGCGTCAGAGCAATTGGAGATGAAGAGCGGACTGGGCAGGGGCGTACAGTCTCAGCAAGAAAGCTCTTGCCTTTTGACGCCAACATCACGTGCGGCAGGGTGCCACTCGCCGCTCCGGCGGAAGGAGCAAACGAGGTGATAACATTTCAGGCCTACCCACCTCCTACAAGGGACACATTTCTCCGAATAAACGCTGATCAAGCACTCTCGCCCTACACAGAGTGCTTTCTAACCGCTCGACACCACAATGGAACGACTGCCATATCCGTTAAAGGTACCAAACCGGTCGAGCATGGCGAGTCGAAGGGTGGCGCGCGGTCACCCAACGGTCGCACCTTTTGTCTCTCCTCCCTTGGATCCTCAGGACTACACCTCACCACGCACCCCAGCCGCCTGTTCTTCCATTGTCTCTCCCTGGATCTGCAGACATGCTCGCACACGAGACTGGCATTGGAAGTGACCGAAACTTGCTCGACAGCATCTTCACAACAGACTGCACCAGGTTCGAAGCTACCTCGCCCAAACAGGATCGTGGAAGACACGGGATTGCTCGTCACGATCTTATCACAGCAGCGCCACACTTTTTGAGGTCAATACCTCTCAGCAGCGCCGTGCCCATGCCGGATTCTATCGCGTCAATTCGACGTACAAGCTCGCGACTGGCGCCAATGTCGACGCGTGGCTCTGATGCTCCCTCTTATCGCGAAGCCAAGGAATGCACAGCGCGCTGCTGTCTTGACTCTTGACTCACCCGATGGCGACCACCCACCATGGGCTACCAAGTCTACTTTTCTAGTTAGTGGCAAAGTCCCAGAGGCGGGAAATGCCAACGATTCTTGCGAGGGCGGGCTCTTGTTGGTCCCTCCAAGCACTCGTGCCTGAGATCTTCATCGCAGTGCGTTCCATTGCGCGCTCACCCGCCACGTCCAGCGCGACAATTCGTGCAATTCCTGCCTCGATGGTGTTTCCGGCCTCGCATTTGACGCGTGAGGCCGGCCGGCACCCGAGACAGCAGCTTGAATGCAGACGAATGAAGCCATCTCATGAACACAACAAGAAAGGATGGTATAAGATACCTCGCGAACCTTCCGCTGCTGCGACCAACTGTCTCGTGCCCATTTGCCGTCTTGCTGCAAATATTCATCTCGACCCTTCCTGTTTCCCCCCAGGAGCGTCAGATCCTTGTTGACCATGAAGTCGGGTTTCGTCGCCCTTCTCGTGACCTGCCTCGCAGGGAGCGGCTTGTCTGCACCGACGCACAAGCCTGCGTCCCAGCTGAACCAGCGCGATGTCGAGGCGCTGCAAGACTGGGCAAAGCAAAACAATGACTCCCCTCTCACAGCTAGGGCTGCCCGGGATGGCATCGACATCCTCACCAACATGCTCACCAACATCTTCCATGGCCACCCCGAAAACAGCAGGAGCAAGAGACAAGCCGACGACCTCGATGACCCGGCGGAGGCGCTGGATGAGGAGGATGAAGAAGGGGATGGTCGAGTGGCAGGCGGCCTCACTGACACGGTCGACAATCTGACTGGAGGTTCGGGCGAAGGTCCGGCGCATCACCTTACCGACACTGTCGATGGTCTGATCGGAGACCAACCAGATGAAGCCCTGGAAGGCCTCACTGGCCCCGTCGGTGGCCTCACTGGAGCCATCCCCGGTGGCCCTATCCGCAAGACCCTCGACAACGCGCTCTCTCAGATGTCGAAACGCAACATGGACACTGACGCCAGCACAACCGACGAGATGCTGCAACGTCGTGTTGTAGGGCTGGCTCTTGGTATTGTCCAGAACATAGCCAAGGGAGCAGGCATCTTAGGCGGCCTAGGGGGCTCCAAGCGTGACGTTGCTGATATGACAATGCCGGTGGATAAACGACAACTCAGCGGCATCACCGATCAGCTTGGTCTGTCAGGAAATGAAGCATCAGGAAATGATGCTCAGGGCGTGCCTATCGTCCCTCTTAGCGGACCGCCATCGAACGGGATCAACGAAATGCCCAGCGGTGCTTCTGCAGCTGGCAGTCGCCCCAAGGATGTGGCTTTCCCCGGTGGGTGGCCAGACGATCTCAACAGCATTGCAAATGACCCTACAAACACCGCCAATGGATTCCCAACCAAGAACCCCAAGCCCAAGAAGCAAGACAGCCCTCTAGGTGCCGGCTTGCTACACGGCTCCGTCCTGCCCGGCGTTCTGGCGAAGCGGGATGCCAACGAGCCCGAGGTCAACGAGAAGCTTGGGCTTGACACCCTACTTACCCTGATCAACAAGCGTGGGAAGCCACCAGGTGGTCTGGACGGCATCAAGGGCGGTGCGCCGGACCTTGGTCTGAGCGACGACCTCACAGGCGCTATCAGCGGCGGTAAGGGCAAAGACGCCGGCAACTTTCCTGGCGCCATCCGCCCAATCGCGGATCTGCTTGGACTCGGCAAGAAGGTCCCTACCGCAAACTTTAACGACCTGGGCGGAATGAGTGGCCTCAATGATGCTGAGGAAGCAAACGAGCTTGACAGCAACCCTTCGCATGTCATGGCTCGCCGCGGAGCCGCGGGCATCCCTGGCGACGTTGCAGGCATGGATGCGGCAACGAGCGACCTGAATGACCTGCCTGGCATCCCTGCTGGCCTCTTCGGCCCAAGCACGCATTCAAACAGCGCGCACAAAGGCAACGGCTTTACGACTGCTACCGGAAAGCCCTCGGACGTCATGGCTCGCCGAGTCACTTCTGGTACCCCTGGCGGTGTCTCAGGACTGGATGCGACGGCTACCGATCTGAACAAGCTCCCCGGCATCCCGGAAGGTCTTTTTGGTCCAAGCACCCATTCGAGCAAGGATGATGACCTCAATCTATCCGGAGGCCCTCGCTCGGGCTTCATGACCAGACGCCGAGTCTCGGGCATCCCTGGTAATGTTGATGGGATGGACGCCGCCACGGGCGACCTCAGAGACCTTCCTGGCGTTCCCGCCGGCCTTTTCGGACCCGAGAAGGACTCTGAGAGTGCCGCAAAGAACGACGACTCGGAGACGCCTGCCACCACTCGCGGATCCAACCTCGACGCGTCCCGCAAGGCTGGCGGCAGTGGCATCGACAACATCAACGCCAACATGGCTACTCCCTGGAGGGCGATGAAGAAGCCCAGCTGAAGTCGGCGGCGGGGATCGCGAGCATGGGCAAGGAACGGCGGGAAGCTACTTGTACTGGCAAAGGCGGTTGCAGCAGCCACTGTGACCTACAATGGTGGAAGCTGAAGCTGGGGGCAGTACAGACGAGGCGACGGATGGAGAGTCTTCACGATACCCATCTGTAACTGAACATTTCGGCGTGGCTATTCTTGGATTTGATGTATTACCTAGCTTTCGGATCTTGACGTAGAAAATTTTGTCGATTTGAGCATGCCCCTGAAAGCCAAGGCAAAAGCATGGACGAGAAGCACATGCGAGAAGTGTGCACAATCGAGACGCGACGAGCATGTTTTGAGTTCCTAGGCGCGTTGGCGATACCACGAATGGAGGCTGGCACTGAGTCGTGGCGGGCCTGAGACATCCAAGGGACGAATGTTTCGACCTTGAACGTGGCTGGCAAACGACATTTGCGCGATTGCCATCATGGCCGGTGTTTAGACAAGTCACAATTGAATCCCGGCTCCCGACGCCGGTTAACTGGCAAGGTGAAGGTTATGCCGCTTAGTACGGAGTGCTCGCAGATTATGTTGATAGTTGTCAGTGCCTGGGTATACTAAGTAACATCCTCGGTGTAAGTCATGGTCCGCCCCTCCGCTCACATCCCCTAAGCGGGCTGCCCGTCCGACAGCAGCATACAAATCCAGAGTCTAGAAAACCGCTTGGTAAGAAGCTGCGGATATACGCACTTATGTGCCAGCGCCGGCAGCACCTGATGATGGGCCCTTTGCCCGCGGGCTTCTCTTGAGAGTCGTCTTCAGCCGGCGGGCCTGCTTCTCCGCCTCCTGCATTTCTCGGAGCAGGTCTGGCAGAACGCGCTCCTCTTCCTCTGGCGACTCCGCCAGCGCAAGCGCCAATATGGACGCCTCGCCCCGCGGTTCGATCCTACGCGTGGCTGTCGCCGTTGTCGTCGTGGTAGTTGCAGTCGTCGTGGTAGGGGTTGCGCTCGAGGACGCGATTTCTGCCTTCTTTGACTGCTTTTTGCTGCGTCCGCCGGCGGTACGGCCTTTTTCTCTTTTCCTGTCCTCTCCCTTCTTGTCTTTTCCTTGGCATAGACAGAACAGCGTCATGGTGATGGTGAGCGTCGGCCGCCAAGGCGCGGCGGTTCGTGGTGCTTCCAGCGTGCGAGTAGAGTTCAGAGCTGCAAACAAAGCGTGAGAAAGGCGTCATATCGAGTGCTGCTCCAAGTAGGGTGCGGCCATAATCTGGATGTTTCCAGCAGTTCACAATATAATCTTGCAGCCTCGTCTTTGAGTGATAGACTCCCCAAAATCCCCGAGCAGGTTGTGAGAAGGAGCCGTGTAGAGTCGAAACCGCGTTCACGAACGCTCTCCGGCCACTGACTCACTGAAGTCGCGTGATCCCGACGGACGCTGAGCGAGGTTTGTCCTGTCCCCGTGCTGTGAGCGCAGTAAGATCATGATGGCATGAAAGGAGTCGGTGACGCCGGCGCATTCTTTGTTCGCGAACTGAGTCTTGCTTTGTCGTGAACGGCATGCACACAGTGGCTCGTGGCAAGCACATGACGCCTATATGATTAGTGTAGGTCCCATCTTCGGTTGCCGAGAGGTCGTCGCGAATATTCGCTTGCTGCCGATCTTTGTTTGTGCCTTTGAAGACCCAACCACTAGCACTCTCCTAGTCGCGTTGATCGAGCCTCACTCAGTAACGCCCTCTCAACCTCAGACCAATCACCAACAACTAGTCTTGTACGGCGTCGAGATATCGAGGCGGCTGAAAGTGCTGGTGAGATGTGTCATAATGTCGAATACTACTCCTGCGGGCACATGGTGCGTCGCCGCACAAAGTGCACGATGAGGTCCCGCCCCAGCTTCCTCCGTTCGCTTGCGCGCGCCGTCTTCCCGCGAAGGCCGTGCAGCCAACTGACGGGGGAAATCTTCCGCAAAAAGCGCTTGTGTCCAGTCTGCGATCGCAAAGGGGGATCGCATCCTAGGGGCCAGGATGGACCGCTGCGCCGTTTACCGGTGTCGCCCAGGGCCCGCCGTGAGGCACATTCCGCCACGCGGACCGTGCGTGACGAGCAAGCTGCACAAGGGCCCTATGAGCTGAGTTCACATGAAAGCCGGGAGAGGCGAAACTCGCGAGGCGCGCCCGAGACGCGCCATCGGCGACCTCAGTCGACGAACATGCGTCATCGTCAGAGCTCTCCGTGGGGAGGGGAGGATTATTTCAAGCATGGCAAAGTCGACAGACAGCCAAGATCAGGCAGTGAAACCCTGAACATGATATCAGGTAAGTCACTCCGAACACATTCTCGAGAGGGCTTCCAACACACGTGTGCAGAGACGTATGAGCTTGATGGTGGCTCAAGTCGACCTTCAAGATCCGGTCACCGAAACAGGTTTCGCAGCCGGAGGCCAGTGCAAGCTCCGCGCCACGTCTTTGGAGGCGACCTTGAGGCTGCACTCAACGACGCCATCGAGGACTGGCAACCGAGAGAGCGCTCAAGGCCGTCCCGTCGTAGGTGTCGATAAGCATTAGGCAGAAGGCGTCACGAGAGGGACCATGTTTTTTCTCCGGAGGATTGACTGATTCCTAGGCCGCTCCGACGGCAAGGATATCGGAGAGGCGGGGGTTCCGGGTCCAAGCGAACAACGGCCAGCACGGGACGAGATGGGTTGGATGGGGTATGATTTGGTAGAGTGAGCTGGTTCACAAATACAACAGCAACGACCTGTGCTGCGGTCCATCAAGAACTGTTTGAGATCATACAGCGTGCCTCCATTTTGCCTATACTGGACAGAGATTATGCCGAGCGGTAAAGGCCGTCGGCGAAGACGGAACAGTTGCACGGATTCGGTTCCGTCGGTTCATGGTCGCATTGGGGTGAGGGCCAGCTTGGCCGCGCGGACGAACGCCAGGAGAATGAGTTTTTGTCTAGGATTATAGCGACCGCGGGAGCTGACATGTGTCGGATGAAACGCGGCTCCCCGAGCATGCTAGGGACGGCTTCTAGTGCTTGGACGAGCCATGGTCGTCTTCCAGAGGTAAATCATGGCCTGCGAACCACTAGTAGACGACGTAGGATGCCTCGGGAGGGGCAGTCGCCTATTGGGCCTTGCCGTTCTTGGATTCGGCCTTGAACTTGGCAATCTCGACCTGGACCTGCTTCTCGACGCGTGTCTGCAGCTCCTTGCGATAGCCGAGCTTGAAGAGGACCTCGAGCCAGACAAACATGGGGGCGAGGAAGATGGCCTGGACGAGGTTGTCGAGCAGGGCGGGCGCACGGCCCTCAAAGGCGCCATGGCCAATAAACTGGGCGATCCACGAGACGACGTGGACGATGAGGGCGAGCTGGAAGGTGGCCTTGGGGTCCTCGAGGCGCATGTGATTGGCGAAGGCGGTGCTGCCGACGCAAAAGGCGGCCAGGACGAAGCCGGCGACGGGCTCGAGCAGGATGTAGAGCCCCGCGTAAAGCAGTGCGGCGATGGTGCCGAGGTTGAGGTCGAGATACGGGACGGTGAGCCACGCGGGGAGGTGGATCAGGGTTCCCGTATATGTGGCCTGAGGCAGGGCTTGGTGGTGAGCAGGGACGACGACCGACGAGCCAAACGGGCGTCGGAGGGAGAGGCGAGACGCACCATGCAAAAGGCAGAGACGAGGATGAGCGGCACGCAGACCATGTGAATGGCCACGTTGACCGAGTTGTGGTGGTAGGCACCATACTGGAGTGGACGTCAGCCAGTGCGACTGAGTGAGTGTTGGACGCGGCGAGGGGCGAGCAAACAGCTGCTCGCACATGCAGGGGCCGGCATACGAAAGTGAGGTGCTTCTCGAGGTCCAGCGACATGTTGGGCGGGTGAGGCGGGTTTGATGGCGCTCTCGGGCGGGGGCCGGTATGGTGAGCAGTTGAGGCTCGAGGGGCGTCGGGAAGACGAAAATGTTGAATGGCGGGTGAGCTGAGGCCGTGAAGACGATGTCGGGGGGGACGAGAGGAGACGGCAGCTTCAAGAAATCTGGGCCAAGGCTCGAGATGTGAGCGCGTCGCGAGTGAGCGTGACAGGTGCCTGCGAAAACGAAATGGCAGGGTTGCCTTTGGGTCGGGGTTGCGCGCGGTGCATGGGGGGATTTGACGGTCGGATGGATTGGGCGGCCGGCCACGGATGGAGGGGAGGGTTGGAGATGGATGGATGGATGGCGGCGGCAGCACCTCATCGGTGCAGCTGCCCATCAAGGCTTGGAGCTTGTCCCCCCACAGTCAGTGAGCTGGAGGTCTGTGGTGGTCCCGCCCAACGCCTGACAGGGGGCACCACCGCTGTAAGGCAGTGCTGTCCCACCCACCCGTATTGAAGCTGCTAGCGCTCAACCGGCAGCTGCTGGCGGTGGCCCGCGGGTGCCTCAGTGGATGCCGCAACCTTAACTAGCGGGCGGGCAGCCCGTCAAGCCCGTGCAAGACGGGTGGGTGCCTCGGATCAACCATCTGCACCGGGCTCGTGACGACTGGGCCATGCATCTGCCACAGGGGCCCGTGTTCGCCGTCAGCACATCCAGACTTCCCGCGGACGTCAAGGAGACTTTGCAGGTAGAGCGGCAGGGCCCGTGGCGCGCAGCACTTCCAACTTGCGTCTCACGCGTGCATGCTCACGGCGGCGCGGACCGAGGCGCAAGGCAATGCGAGGCCGCAGCAAAACGGGCTCAGCGCGCCATCTCCCGCGTCGTACGACATGCATGCGTCTTGGCCCGCGGCATCGACAAGAACAAGGTGTCTCTCTGCAGCCTGAACTGGCGTTGGCCCGTGCAGTCCCAAAACTCCTTGACAGGGTTTCCTGCTGGGGTGTGTAATGCCCGGTCTCCCAGCTCCAGTTCCGGGCACCAGGGACCACCATGTCCAGCTTGCCCTGTCCATTCTCGTGGGAGTCCCGGGCTCCAGGGCTGCCCTACGGGCCGATTCCTGGGCATCTGGGGTAGCCGCCCGGAGGGTTAGGCGTGGGCCGGCAGCCCTGGCAACCCGCTAATGCCCTGATCGGCAACTTGTGTGTAACGGATTTCTATGTAGGTGTGGAGATAAAGATAAAATGAAAATGCCTTCCTATTCCCCTTCGGGCAGCAATTTAGCTACGTTATATATAGAATCGAGCAGGGGTCGAGTTATATAGATATCTAGATATACCCTTAGCAATCTAGCCTATTAAAGCCCGTAATCTTAATAACTAAGCTTTATTAAGGCTATATATATAAGGCAGTTATATATATATATAATAAATCTTAACGGTAGAAAAAAGTATATATAGGCTATATACGCGACTTATATATACGTTATTATCGTATAATTATCGCATTAATTCGTTAATTTATATATAGATTTAGTATAGTCTCGAGAGTTATATAGATATAACCTACTCGCTATAGTTAGTTAATATACTTAATAAAGTAATAGCTCGTTTTCTCTTATAGTTAGTAATTATAATTAAAGTCGCTATTATAACTATATTATTATTAATCGTCTTAAGGCCTTAAATATCGTAGTAATAGCTAGCTTATAATATAGAACGATAGGTTATATACTTTAATAGCCCTATATTTATAGGTTAGTTTATATCTTAATAGATCGATAGCTTAGATATTAAATTCGAGGATATATTTTATATATTAAAGGTTACCTTTTAATAACTATATAGATAGCTCGAGATATATACTTTATTAAAGCTTTTATATTAGCTTATATTATTATATAAAGTCTTAATATTCCTATATATTATCGGGTAAAGAGAGATATAATAAAGGGCTAAGTCTTTCTTTTAGATTAGCTAAAGTATAATTTTAACGATATTTTATAATATTCTTAATTTAATAAAAGTATTATATATTACTTTCGTTTAATAGCTAATTAATAATAATATCTCTTTAAGCCTCTTAAAAGACCCTAAAAATATTACTTTCGTTAGGTATATTAAAGTAATTAACGGTATATATATATTAATCTATATACTTCTTAAGATAAAGGTATAGTTTTTTAACTAAAAGGGCTTTTTATTATAGAATATACTTATTACTATAAGGCTTAATAATACCTTTATTTTTATATTAATTAATAAAGAAGGTAATTTAAACGATATTAATATAATATATATTACTTTAAGTTAATAGCTTACTATACCGATAGATCGCTTTTACCTTAAGGACTCTAAGTTTCCCTTATAAATAAGGGTAATTATATTATATCTTAAATATAGATATTATCTATAAGATTAGTATTTAATATTAAACTAGCTAAAGATAGTAAAGGAGCTATTTAATTTATATTATACCTAGCTTTAAGTTATTATAGAGTAAGTATTTAAATAGGTAAAGAAGAAATTTAAAGTATTATAAAATAACCCTATTAAGTATAGTCTCGATAATTAAATTAAGATTATATATATTATAATAAAGCTTTAAAACTTTATTAAGTTTAAAGGTAAGGAATATAAAGTAAGGGAGATAATAAAGGAAATCGATAAGGTCTTAATAAATAAAGTAAAGGATAAGGTAAATTAAATTATAAGGAATCGAATAATAATATAGTAAAGGGAGGTTATTATAAAAGAAATATAGTCTTAATATTAAATATACCTAAAATAATTTACTTCTTAAATATAAGAAAGGGAAGATAAATTAAAAAGTATTATTATAGCGTTATTAAATTTAAGGGACTTTAAAAATAATACTTTTAATAAAACTAACGATTTAAGCTATTTAAAGGGAGATATAGGGCTTAATTTCGATAAAAATAAAGTACTTATAGCGTTATAAAATAGCTATATTATTACGTTATATAATATTATAGGTTAAAAATAGTAATATTAAATCTTAATATTAAGAAAAATAGATATATATATATATAGCTAATAATAGATTTATTATATATTTTAAGTAATAATTTAAGTAATAATTTAAGGTATAAATTAAGGTTATCTTATTTCTTAAAGTATTATCGATAATATATATTTAAAAGGATATAACTTTTATTAATATAAAGTTAGCGATATATAAAATATTATTATATAAGCCTATTTAAAGTATAAAAATAAAGAAAATAAATATATTAATAAAGAAGGGATTATATAATTAATTTAATAAATAGTAGTTTTTTATATATTAACCTAACCTTTAATTATAGTAATAACTTAACCTCTTTTAACCTCTCAAATTAACCTTAATAATAACTTAACCTCCCTTAACCTCTTTAATTAATTATATAGCGCTTTATAGTTACTATAATACCTTACGGTTAGACTTTATTTCCTATAGCTATTTATTTTTTACCTTTTAGTCTTTTAATATAAGCTAAGTAATAATATTATAGCTTTATTATATCTCTTAAGTAAAAAATAGCTATAGATTCTTAATAAGTTAAAAAGTCTATATTTTATTATAGATTGCTTTTTAAATAACCTTAATTATTAATTTAATAATTATTATAGCTTAAAGAAGCTAACTATATTTATAGACTATATCTATAAATAAGCCTATATAGTTATATATTTCTATCTTCTCGATTTAATACCTTTTATAGTTATAAAGTACTATAAAACTAGCTTTAAGTAAAGGCATTAATAATAATAATAAAACTATTAACTTTATTACTATAATAAATATCTTAATATCTTATAATATATCTAGAAGCTTATTAAAGCTTATAAGATCGATAATATCTAAACCTTTAATATCGAGAATATCTTTAATATATTAAGCTACTAGCTTATTGCCTTAAAAGGCTTCTATATAGAGATTTATATATAAAAGACTTCCTCTTTTAATCTCTTTAATAAAGTATTAATAAGTAGCTTTTACTTTCTTTTATTATTCCTCTATAGCCTCTATAGTACCTTTAACTTTATTATATATAATATTAAAGAGCTTAATTATATATTTTTAAGTATATACCTTAAGCTTTAAGTATTAATATTAACCTATAAGCACTTATATATATTAATTAAGATAAGGAAAGTGCGTTATTAAGACTAATAGATAATCCTTAAGTATAGGTAAAAGGTATACCTTTTTAAATAACTTAAGCTAATTATTAATATATACCTTTTATAATAATTCTAAGAAGTAAATTACTATCTCGGTCCGCTATATTAAGTAAGGCCGCTTAACGGGCCGCTAAAGTATAATAATATCGCTTAAAGCGTCGTTAGCTATACCTTTAATACCGTTAAGGTCCTTAACGGCCGTACCTTTAATATTAGTAAGGTCTTTAGTGGCTTTACCTTTAACGCTAATAAGGCTACCGTTAAGGTAGTCAAATAGGTCGCTATCGTCTATATCGATTAAAGCTATTACTAACGCCTAATTAGGTAATAAGAGCCGGTTTTAGAGAGGTCGAAGATACTTAAAAATAGCTATTACGATATAGGCTATAACGTCTAACGCCCTTTTTACGCGTTATTACCCTTAATTACTAGATCCGGCAGGCGGTAACCCTTAAATATACACTATTTGCATTAAACCGCGGGCAGGGGTCAAAAGGGGTATAAAGGCGCTCTATGGGGCTTTAAAGGTTACAGTTACATACGTTTTTACACACACACGAAAGTTGCCGATCACGGCATAAGCGCCCTGCTGACAAGCACGCCGGGTTGGGTAAAGGGTCCGGCACACGACTTCCTCCTGCCTTGAGCGTAGTCCGGGCAAGTGGCTCAAATGGCAATGCCCAGTCGACACAGTTCATGATCCTTTCCACTCCTGCAGTGCCTGGGGCGCGTCGCATCGCTACACAGCCACCAGGGCATGATGCATAAACCACCTGGAACCAGTCCCGGATATTCAGGCACAGCACTACCTGCTACGAAGTGGGCTAAGAAGGTCGGGTGCCTTGTCCGTGGAATTCCCCAGCCACAGCACTGGACCCCCTGGAGGGTCAGGCAAGTCAGGCCACCTGCAGCTGGAGCTGTGCCGTGGCAAGCGGGCCCAGCTTACTACTACCGGGCATGGAACGTCCCACCGCCAATGGACAAGGGGTCGGCCTGCTTACCTCAGCGCTGTGGCGCATGAGATTTCAACCATCTGCCTCCGTGCATCACGATGCGCAGCCCTTTGCCTCAGCCTTGTCGCGCGCTCAACCCACCACCTCCGTTCCAACACCCCGCAGACAACTCATCTCCCTGTCGGGGAGCCAGGAGTGCACGTCTCGAGGCGGCGAGACTCCCTGCAAACTTCCGCGTCTGCGTCCCGCCTCGCCTCTCCTTTCTACCGGCGCGGTCCGCCCCCGACGGCCACCGGTCTCGACAACAATCGGATCGCCGAGCTGTCTAACCCAGCGAGCCTCCGATCCGGGCGCGTCAGACGTCGATTCCTCGACATCTCGAACGGGTAATTGGCGGTCGGAGTCGCTTGACGCCACCATCTTCGCAGCTCGAAGCCGTCGACACGCGCAGCCGAGGCGTCGTCGCCGCAACAGTCGCCCAGCATGTTCTTTCTCTACAACATGGAGCGCAGGGTCACCCTGCACCCCTCCTATTTCGGCCGAAATATGCACGAGCTGGTGACCAGCAAGCTGCTGAAGGACGTCGAGGGCACCTGTGCCGGCAGCTACTACATCATCTCTATCATGGACACGTTCGACATTTCCGAGGGTCGGATTCTGCCGGGCAATGGGCTGGCCGAGTTCACGGTCGGGTATCGAGCGGTCGTCTGGCGGCCGTTCAAGGGAGAGACGGTGAGGCAGCGGCGCTCAGAATGCTTAGAGAGAAGGAGGTCGCTGACGATGGCAAGGTCGATGCCGTGGTGTACTCGATCAACCCGCAGGGTTTCTTCGCCCAGGCTGGGCCACTGCGTCTTTTTGTTTCGGCGCATGTGCGTACATTTGGTCCTGTTGCCTCACCATGACCTGGCTGACGATGTGAAGCTGATTCCGAGCGACATCAAATGGGACCCCAACGCCACACCGCCACAGTTCACTAACAATGAGGACACTGTCATCGAGCCCGGGACACACGTGCGGGTCAAGATCATAGGCACCCGTACCGAGGTTGGAGAGATGTGGGCGATTGGCAGCATCAAGGAGGACTATCTCGGGTACGATGCGGCGCTCGTGTGTCCGGGAGAACGACTTGACGCTAATGGAGATTCTGCAGATGCCTTCAGGACTGAGGCTGATGTTGTCGAGGCGGAAGGCCCCGGGGCGCACATTATGCTGCCAATACCGGGGTCGGCTACGGTGCCGGGGTTGAGGAGGGCCCGAAAAGAAAGTATAGACTGGCGCTGGCGAAGTGTTGCCGGACACGGCTTTCTTGCGACAAGGGCATGCGTGGTGAACTGACTTCATCATACATCGGCTCTTGGTGGTGGTCCTTTCACGCATTGGCCGCAGAGCATAGACTGGAACAGGCGGAACACCGTCCGGCGCAAAGGATGCGAGAACGACGCGTGCTGGTTGGCTTTTGGAAGGAAGACCAACAGCAACTGTACCTACAGCGGAAGCGACAAAGGCACTCTGGAATGGACCAGAGCTCGCCAGACAGCGATGGTCTGCCGGCGTCGCGTTTTCAAGGCGAGGGTTCGCTGCGAGCCCGAGGTCGCGGAGCGGACACGGCCTTGATGTATTACGAACACGTCTAGAGACTAGACCTAACTACGCAAGTTTTATTGACACGTCTCGGGCGCCTTCTCGCGAGACCGGGCCGGCCGCGGGTGACCGCATGCTGTGAATTGGGAGTACGGCCGGCGCGCGCTGTGACGGTTGCGCGTTCGGGGTAGATGCCGCCGACCGAGAATCGGAGGCGGACAGCTTCGAACATGCGGCGGGCCACTGCGCAACCCCCACGCCCGCTCCGCTTCCAGCCTCCAATTGCCTGCTCTGCCGTCACCCCCGCTGTGTTCGTCGGGGCCCCGCTGCAGATACACCCGCGGGTCGAAGTGACAGCACTGACGGCGGCCAGCTTGGAGCTCATCCCAGCTCTTCTCGGGCCAGCCCTCAGGTATTACGCAGCTTGGGCCAGCCACACTCGGGGGGCTCGTAGCTACCTCATTGAGGGACTGGCGACTGTCTCTCAGACAAGGCACGTATCCGCGCGCCGCATCATACGTCCGTAGGCGGCCCTCTTGTCAGCAACCGAAACCGAAGCCGAAACGAAAGGTCGGTCCCACGTACATAACGCGTTACTGTCCGAGAGCAAGCAAGCCCATCGTACCTAGTAGTTCGCCGCAACACCCTCGGCGTCATCCCAGGCTAATTGCGAGGTACCCAGCAGCGGCGCATCGTTCCCTCCCCTCCCCCCTCCGCCTCCCCCATCCCCGCCAAGCGAGCGCCCGCGCCCCGGGCGAACGCTGGCCGATCCCGCAGCGCGGCGGTGTTCCCCCCGCAGCAGCGTCACATACAGCAGGCCGCCCATCAGCCCAAGCCGAAGGAGCAAGGCAAAAGAAGACGAACGTTTAGACGAGCCGTCGGGGACTTTTTTTCTCTCCCCTAGGCTCACGTATCGTATAAAGGGATCGCCCCCTCATAATCCGCTGTGCGGGTTCGTGCCGCTGGCCATCATGAACGCCCTCCGGCAGACGCGTGCGACCACGACGAAGCTCCTCTCATCAGCATCACCAGCCAGCAACGGGACACGAGCCCTCCTTGTCGCCAACGCATCTGTAGCGCAGTCGTCGGCTGTCCCGCGTCTAAACATCAGCGGCAGCAACAGCAGGCACTTCGGCACCACTCGACGAGCCATGGCAATGCAGGCGTCTAACCGCCTCAAGACGGCGTTTGCCCAGGGCCGCCAGTCCATGGGCATGTGGCAGATGCTGCCAGGGGCAAATGTCTCGCGCCTCCTGGCCCGGTCGGGGGTCGACTGGGTCATGGTCGACTGCGAGCACGGCAACATGGACGGTACGCAGTTCAGTGGGCAGAACACGACGCGTAGAGACTGACAGCACGGTTTCGTCTAGATAGCGCTATGCACGACGCCGTCCCGGCCATTGCCGCGCTGGGCGTATCGCCGTTAGTCCGGATCCCGGACATTCAGTCCTGGATGGTGAAGCGTAAGTCACTGAAGCTGCTGTAGTGATATAGTCCCAGGTTGACAGTCGATCAGGTGCACTTGACTCGGGCGCGCATGGGGTATGTAGCAATGCCTATCTCTTGAGCTACGTAAACGACGACGCGCGGCCAGACTGACTCCCATCTCTCCACATAGGTTCTGGTACCGCTGCTGCGCAGTGTCGAGCAGGCCAAGGAGCTCGTCCAGGCCGCCAAGTTCCCGCCCATGGGCCGCCGCGGCTTCGGCTCGCCCATCGCGCCGGAGCGCTTCAACCCCATGCCGTCCTTCACCGAGTACCTACAGCAGGCCAACGACGCCCTCCTGACCATGGTGCAGATCGAGACCCGCGAGGCCCTCGACGTCGTGGAGGACATTGCCGCCGTCGACGGCATCGACGTGCTCTTCATCGGGCCCTTTGACCTCGGTACGCTCGCCTCCCTTCACTTTACCACTTTTCTTGGAGCCGATACTGACGCCGTCACACAATGCAGGCAACAGCATCGGCCACCCGATCCTCAACGGCGCAATGGCCCCCGAGCTCACCGACGCCATCGGCCGCATCCTCGCCGCGTGCCGCAAGGCGGGCAAGAAGTGCGGCATGTACGCCACGAGCGGCGAGCAGGCCAAGACCTTCGCGGACCAGGGCTTCGACATGATCAGCGTGGCGGCCGACTACACGGCGCTCGAGTACGTGCTGAAGCAGCAGTTTGGCGCCTCGCAGGGCCAGGGGGCGACGTCCAAGACGGGATCGTACTAAAGGAAGGAATTTGCTTGGTCGCTTTGTGTTCTTGCCTCGAGGCGAAGATGGGGCCGTTGGATAGTCAGTAGGTGGTTGGGCAGGCTACCTAGCTCTCCTCGACCTGGTCCATCTTGGCCTCGACTTGCTCAGGCGTGAACCTGTGCATTAATTTGACGGCCTTGCCGGCCGCGTCGACTTGTTCCTCTCGCGCCTCTGCCCTGCTGATGTGAATCTGTATCCGAACCGTGTTAACCACTCTCGTTTCACCTCTGTGCCACTCACGCAAGTGTGCAAGAACTCAAACTCACCACGGGTATATCAAAGTCGTACAGCTCCCGCCAGGATTTAGACTCGGGCAGCGCCAGGTTCACCTCGCGAAACACAAACGGCCGCTTGTCCCAGACGTCGGACAGGACGCCCTTTGCGTTCGTGCACAGGCCGCAGTTGTCGCGCGAGAAGAGCGTGATGCGGCACGCCTGCAGGAGGCGGCGCGTCGCAAACATGGCAGCAGGTCGAGCTGAGAGCCAGCTGGGCAATAGAACGGGACGGGATGTGGTCAATGTGGCTGCATGAAGCCCCGTGTCTGTGCCTCAGGTCGTGTTACTTTGAGGGGAGGTACTTGTTTTCCTCGTCGTTGCGTTGCGTTTGCTTTTGCGTGTCCTACGTGACATGATACGACACTGGACAGCTCAGGGGTCTGTGTGTGGGTGCTTTTCCTGGCGAGCTGTGCGAGCTCTGGCGCTGGCGGCACCGGCGCCGGCACCCCGCACCCAGACCGGCAGGCGGTGAGACGGGATGAGAGCCAACGAGCTCAGCTGTCCCGCCTTGCCCGCCCCGTCGTCATACAGAGCTATCAACTTTCTAGAAGATCCCACGATTCCCACCCCACCATACCAGTTAAACGGACCAGCTGGAAACGTTGTCTCGCCGTTTGCTTCGTCACAGCATCAACCACGACCCTCCGGCCGACGCCAATTCCTTCGCTGAGGCTTCCACTGCCTCGGACACATCGCCGCCGCTCTAGCGCTGCCGCATTGCGGATCCTGACGACGACTACTCGCCAAAGATGCCCGCCCAAAAGTGCGTCCACCAGGGCTGCGGCAAGGAGTTCACCGACCCCGACGAGAAGTGCGAGTATCACCCGGGCCCGCCCATCTTTCACGAGGGACAGAAAGGTAAAAAGGCGACAGTCTAGCTGGGATTCAAACCCCAAAGTGGCAATGAGCTAACGGCCGCCCCCCGCGCAGGATGGAAGTGTTGCAAGCCCCGCGTCCTGACGTTTGACGAGTTCATGACCATCCCGCCCTGCACGACGGGCACGCACTCGACCACCGACAAGCCCCCGCAGCTCGAGGAGAACAAGCCGGCCGAGGACGACGCCTCGCTGGCCAAGAAGATTGCCGCCCTCACAGCCGACGGCCCGGCGCCCGCGCGCGTGCCCCTCCAGCCCGCACAGCACGCGCCGACGCCACCCCCGCCCCCGCCCGAGACGGACGACGACGACGTTTCGCTGGAGATCCCCGACGGCAAGGAGTGCAGGCGGCGGACGTGCGGGCACAAGTACAAGAAGGGCGCCGCGAGGGACGGCGAGAAGTGCGTGCACCACCCGGGCGTGCCCATCTTCCACGAGGGCAGCAAGGGCTACTCGTGCTGCAAGCGGCGGGTGCTCGAGTTTGACCAGTTCATGAAGATTGAGGGCTGCAAGACCAAGGACAGGCACCTGTTTATCGGCAGCGGCGAGAAGAAGGAAAAGGCAGGGTCGTCGGGGGAGGAGATTTTGGATACGGTCAGGTGAGTCGAGGCTCGCGACAGCCGGCCCAAGCACGACAGATGTGCGCCCGCGGCGCAGCAGGAGACCCCGTACTGACCGATTATACCCAGACACGACTTTTACCAGACGCCAACGAGCGTCATCGCGTCCTTTTTCCTCAAAAAGATCAACAAGGACACGGCCAAGGTGGAGTTCCAGCCCAAGCAGCTGACGCTGGACCTCGCGACGACGGACTCGCCGCCCAAGCGGTACTCGGCCGAGGTGCCGCTCTACGGGGCCATTGACGCGCAAAAGTCGTCGTACAAGGTGCTGGGGACCAAGCTGGAGCTGAACCTGGCCAAGGCGGATGGCGCGTCGTGGCCGGTGCTGCGAGGCGACGAGGCGACGACGGGGGAGATTCTGCAGATTGGGCGTGCTGGACGGGCGTAGGAGCGAAGCCGCATGCTCGTAGCTGCCTCCAGCTACCTGCCTGACTGCTAGGCAGTGGTACCAACTTGTAGAACAAAAAGACTTGTAGAGTTGGTGTAGAGCGTGGTACGGAGGGTCACTGTCGGCGGTGGCTGGCTACAATTCAAGGTATCGAGTGGGATGTGAGCCATGCAAACCCGAGTTGACGAACCTCGGCGTCGAATGCCCGACTGGACTGGACGGGCGTTCGAGAACCGGGATCTCGTCCACATGCACTGTCCACAACGCACTGCACGTACGGCGCTGAATGTGGTCAAAAGAGAAACACAATTAGCCTTTCTAATTGTCTGCGCGCCTCGCATGAAGCAGGGCCCGGCCAGCTGGTTAAAATTGGCCGGGATGCAATGCCAACTGATAAGCAACGTCGGGAAGGGTGGTGGCTTGCCCCCATCACCAACAGCAAACCGGCGCCCCGTCAATTTCGGGTACGTAACCGGGGCGCCGAACGGGCAGCTCTCACTGGCCCGCGCCGCCACGGGCCGGCCGTGAATAGTGCGCGAACGGCGCGCCGATAACGACTTCCACTTCCACTGATAAAGAACATCGGCTGCGATAAGGGAAAGGGCTGGATGAACGAACGGCCAAAGGGGTGGAGGGGGGCCAAGAGTAAGACTGTACGCCCTCGTGGCGTGGCGCCTCAATTTCTCATGTGCTTATCGGGCGCGGCGAGGCGAGGCGAGGCGAGGCGAGTCGAGGTGGTAATACAGGTGTAATACACGTGGGCGAGCCCTGAGGTCCCCTGGCAGCCAGCGGCGGCAGCATCAGCCCCAGCACGTGTGGTTTGCCTGCCCTGCCCGTTGTGCATGCCTGCCTGATGGATGGATGGGATGATGGATGGATCCGGCCATCGGCCACTGACCCGACTTCTCTGTGACGTATAACAGCCGAGGGTGCATCTCCTTGCATCCTCGCGTGCGACACTCAAACCCGCCCGCTGAAACTCTTTTTGTTTTCGCTCTCCCTCTCTTGTGTTACTGTTTCGGTCCCTGTCGCCGCTGATTCATCGCCCCGTCAGCTCCCAGTTCCTGTCAGCGAACTCAGCAGCATCAGCCCAGCGGGAACACTCTGCTGCTCCCGTCGTCGTCATGTCCGTCGAAGTGTCCCACGGCCGGGGCGGAGCCGGCAACATCAACGCCGACGACACGCAGTACGTGGACGGCGAGGTCGTGCGCTCCGGGCCGGAGGGCAGCCACGGGGACGGCGCGTACAGCGCCGGCAGAGGAGGTGAGTCCGACTGCGCGCGTGTGTTCCGCCGGAGGTCTTGCGATTTATGCTTTGGGCGCTGGTGTCTGTTTCGTCCTATGGATCGCGCGGCCACGGCTGCTGTTCCTCAAGTGCCGCTTTCCTGGAAGAACCATGGACAAGGAACATCAGATGTGCGATGGATGAAGCGCCATGGCTGGCTGGCCGGCCGGGCATCCCGTTTGGACCCCTGATGAGCGAGAGACTGACCGCGAAACAGGCGCCGGCAACATCGCCGACGTGGGCACCACCTCGTCGCAGCGCAAGGACCAGGACATCATCCCCGACGTGGCCGTGAGGGCCAGCCAGGACACGCAGGACTACCACACCGGGCGAGGCGGCGCCGGCAACGAGCACACGTCCGCCGAGCGCGCCAAGTCGCCCCCAGCAAAGACCAACGGCGGCGCAGCCGGCGAGGCCCCCATCAGCCTCGCCGACAAGCTCAAGGAGAAGCTGTTTGGCGCGTTCAAGAAATGAGGAAGACCGGCCTCGCGCCGTGGGCTGGGCTGGGCAGGGCAGCCGGGGGAAAGTGGGAAGAGAGATTGAACGTCGGGACGTGGAGGAGAGGTTGTAATTGGGGCCTTTCTTGACCCGCTGCGCACTGATGTTGTTTTGGTTTCCTTCGACGCAATGCTCGCAATGATATCCCGCTTGTTAGTACGGAGCAGTGGCTACCTACATAGCTTGAAGAATGCAGGCAAACCAAGAGCTACCACCACCACCACCACCGCTACCAGACCCGTATATGTACCATCCATCCATGGATCCTCTTGGCGCACCGGCGCCATCTCATCATGCCTCTCCAAGTTCGTTTACGGAAAGCCGGCGATTTAGTGTCGACTATTCCGGGCGGGCCAAGCCAGCTGGTTTCGGATCTCCGCGAGGAACCCTTGCTGAAGAGGAATGACTACGTACGGACTACGGAGAACCGAGCGAGGGCTGCGGCAGGCCTGTGGATCAGCACGCGCGCGCGCGCGCAAGAGGCGCTCGTGATCGTCCTGCTGCCCGCTGGAAATGGATCCCCCCACCACCTCGAGGCCCAGGACATCCCCAGACTCCCCCCACTTGGGGCCGCGGGTTGTGTGTGTAGATGGGTAGACATGGGACGAGCTCGAGTTGGGGCCTCACCGACAATGAACAACGTCGCCGGCGGGATATGATGAACCTGGCTGGGCTGGTTCGACGACAATTGCGTCTGTGATGAGCGCGCCAACCCAAAGAGCAGCAGCTTCTTGCGCCACTCCTCACTGGATGGTGCGATTTAGCCAGAAACAAAAACGGCCGGCTGGAGAAACGCTGTCCGGGAATGCAACCCATAGCTGTGCTAGCCACGAGTCGAGCGCATCTATCCCCAAGGCGGCCCTCCCGCGACGAATGGGCAGCGACGGGGCCACGGCCGCCCGACATGGGTTCGCACCCCTCATTGCCTCATTGTGCAGACCCCCCGTTCGTGAACGAACCCCGCGAGACATCCGAACTGAGCTTGGCCGGCCGCAGCTATCAGAGTTCGGCCGCCCGGGAGGAGGGCCAGACGGGGCCAAGCGCCGCGGCGTAGGTATATCTATGCCCGGACGCCTCCGGGCGGTTCCCCCGTCGTGTTGGTCGCTCGCGGTGCCTCCGCTACTGTCCCCTCTGAGTGTGCCTGAGTCGTGGCCTCAGCAAGACATAAGAGTGTGCTTGTCCAGCCTTCCAGCCAGGTGTCTCGCCTCCACTGGGGCTCTTGATGGCGAACGCTCGGGGCAATAACCGCCGCTGGATCTCGCATTTCATGGAGGGCCGCACCGCAAACGCAGACAAGGGCCAACCGAGACGACACTTTACGCCAGACAACCATCGCTGGATGGGGCCTCAAAAAGGTTGAGGAATCAAGTTGAAGTCGCCGTGTCACAATCCGTCACGTGGCACGGGGCGTCTTTCCGTCTGGCTGACATCCCCCAGCAAGCTTGAGGAAGGAGAAAAGGCAGCACCAGCACCTGGCGTTGACGTAACGCGGAGCACGGGTTCCGCGCTGCGGTGGCGGCAAGGTCAGCCCTGTCGCACCGAGCAGGCCGCTACGGTGGCGGTCACAGGGCA